GGGATAGAAGTCACTGTTTTATTGTAATGGCCACCCAGAAAGTGTGATGTCAATGGGCAGCCTTCAAACAAATCTGATAAATAAGCCACTGCATTTAAAATGTTCACTGTAATATTTCTCTTGCTAATGGCATCTTTTAACAATTCAATTTTGTTTTACCAATAAGTACATTGATATGATTGCTATAGAAATGATTAACAATATTCTAAAATTGTACCATTTATCAAAGATCTTAATGCTGCAACCCCAACCATAATACTAAACTGCACAAAGAGTTTTAGCTATTTTGCAGCACAGAAATCTAATAAATATTGTGAAGCAACACTTAACTGCTGAGTAAAAATCCTATAATTGGGCCATAAATCTGAAAAGTATAAACCAAATGAATTATTTTATTATCAGAAAAGTATATGTTCATAAAATATATATTTTGTACTTTGCAATGTACTACACCTTTCATGGATGGTGTTTGTGAACTTTATCACAGAAGAAAGCCTGGAAAAGGATATCTGCTAATAATGCATTCTTTGCACTTGACTAACTGAAAACACCCATTACAATACTTAAGCAATGAAACTAGGTGCATCTGGTGGTTGCAAAGTGCTGCAAATAAGGTACCAAAACCAAGTTAATCGAAAAGCATCAAAAGTTGTGCTGGCTTTATCCAAAAAAACCAGAGAAGAATGCCAACCCATGTCAGTATCACTTTTTAGTTTCTTGAAAATAGTTTTTTTTATAATAATATACATTAACTAATGGAACGGATATATTAGGTCTGTTTACATCTTTTTGTCCTGGGTGCTTTCCCTAGATTTCTCCAGAAACAGTTTTTTGAGCAGCCTATGAACTCTTAGCACTAGTGACCTGCACATGCATACAAAATATAACGGGCAAGCTTCTTATGGTACGTCTTCCTTATTTACATCACTTTCTAATGGCAAACTGAGGTAGCAAGTGCCTACAAGCATAGAGACTAGAGACGAAATTGGGAAAAAGGAGGCACTATCAGCATGCTTGGAGAACACCAAGGTTTTCAGAATTGTCTTTGTTTAATTTACTTAAGTCATCAAGGGGAAGCCTCTCACTCCCACCTAGCCCATTGTGGATCAGCAGTCATGAAGAGGTATGGCGTTGAGTTCCCTGCAGGATGGCACAGCTGCCCACCTGGAATCCTATCAGGAAGTGAGTGTGCACTGCAACATACAGGTCCCACTTGTATTAGACTTAAATTTAATAGAAGTCTTAACTGAATGTATACCTCATTGCTCTTATGCGCCAAATCCTGGGAAAATCTTGTACATTATGCATACTATCATGTAACGAGTATTTGTCATTTAATTGTACTCTGTGGTCTGGTGTTCTGACAACAAACAATATATTTTTGTTTTCCAAAGAGGGAAGGTTTTTGTTTTTCTTTTGTTTTAGTCTCAAATTCTGGAAAGAGTGATTGTAAAAAGCAAAAGGGTCAAGGCTAAATAATTGTCAAGGCTTTCTCAAACAATAAGCAACAAGACACCGATGATCATTAAAAAGTATCAGAGGGAAGACTGATCCTGAGTTTTCAAATATAAATGTTTCACAGCAGGAGCGGTCATCCAATGTGCAAGTTCAGTGTTGCTCAACTAGGTTATGGACTGCCTTTCAACAAACTGGTGCCTTCAAAACGTATTGTACTACTGGAATAATGAGAGCTGCATTCCAATACTTCTGAAGGACACCGCACTGGAAAAGAATGATCTAAAGACAGCATAATGTTGTTAGTCGCGAAGTTGCGTCCGACCCATCGTGACCCCATGGACAACACTCCTCCAGGCCTTCCTGTCCTCCACCATCCCCCAGAGTCCACTTAAGCTCATACCAACTGCTTCAGTGACTCCATCTAGCCACCTCATTCTCTGCTGTCCTTCTTCTTTTGCCATCTATTGTTCCCAGCATTAAAGACAGCATAATAGTCTTCTTTAAAATAGTAATATGTGGTTGTGCTCAGTCACTCCATATGCTGCTGAGGAATCCCCAGTTTTTGGAATCAACATGCTATGCAAGTTTTTTTTAAATGTACCAATGTTTTCAATGTAAAATACAGTACTAAAAAGAGATTGATGAGAAGTATTTCTCTAGTCACATGAGCATCACTTGGATTATATTTGCTATCCTTGTGGGCTTGAGGCAAAGAAGTGTTTCATTTGTGAAAAAACAGTTGAAGGAGAAGGATAGAACTCTCCTTAAGAGCTTAAGAGGAAAGAAAGGTAAGTAAAACTATAAAAGGAACTCTTCAAAGCCCTTCAAAATGTTCTGGCAGGCTTAGAAAGAAAATAAAAGACTTTCAAAATAGAGGGTTCTTTTTTAATACTCCCATTTTGTAGCATAAATGACGGCTTGGAGACCACTTAAGGGGTATTGTTGCATTTATCATTTAAAGAAAAGCAACTGAGTTAAGATTCTACTGCAGCAATCCTATCTTTCTTAACTTTCAAAAATCCCAATAACACATCAGTTTTCACCACAAAAGCTTTTATATTTCTTATCCTGAAATTGCTCATTTGGATAAACTGTGCTAAATATAGTGCCGAAACAAAATTAAGTCTGTATCACTGAATATTATTTAATGAGACACATTCTGATATGTTCTGTAATTTTTATGCTTCCAGTGAAGATCCCAACTGATATTTATGGTACATCTTGGGAACATAAGATGTGATAAACAAAGATGTACAAAGATGGAATGACACCTATGCAATGGGTCCAGGAACACCTTAAGGTGAGGACTATAGGTCTTATTTCTAACTTACAGGTTTCAGTACTAACCCAATTCATGACTGTTATGTGGTTTTGACACAACAATGCTATCCCATTTTATGTATATTTTAAACAGAACTCTTTACATTTATATATACTTCTTGTATGGTAATTGTTTTATAATTCAGACCAGGGTCAAATTTGAAAAACCAGCTAGGTGAGCCACATTTATCCAGTGCTTTTAGTTATTTTCTTTTACATAATCCACCAATACAGTGAACTAGTCTAATACTGAAAACGTGTTATTCCTTCACCTTATGCAAAACAGCACTGAAAACTGGTGACCACATGCTTCAGCCTCTTAAGCCCACACACAAGAGTTTTCAATTGGCCACCCTTACCTGTTCTGCAAAGCTAAGGAACTTCTGCTGAGACTAGAGTTATCAAAAGGCAAATGCTTTAAAATGTATTCTTGCATTCAAACATTATCCTTCACTAATGTGCAATTTACTTAAAAGTAAAACCAAATTGCAGTCATTTTGCATGTCAACCAAGAGATACTAGAGACAGTAATCTTAGGGAAGATTAAATAGACTATATATGCCTGTGCAAAACACACATTTTGCCTTTTTAATGACAAGAAAGTAATTACCTGTAATTGTATTTACATATGGAGCACGAGGTAAAAACTGGAAACTGAGAATATTATCAACTAACAAAGCATGCCTGTTAGAAATTGATCAGGTGCTAGAAGGTACTACTTGCATTATTTATTCATGAAAGAAGAATAATACATCATTACCATTCATTCAACTTACATCTCAGTAAACACACAAGCTAGTTATGTGATGGTCCATGATAATGGGGACTTAACGACAGCACTGATTTTGAGGAATATTCAGATGGCACTGATATTTAAAAAATCTAGAATCATACAGTTGGAAGAGGCCTAGAAGGCTATTGGGTCCAACGCCCTGCTCAATGCAGGACTCAAGTCTCACATTAAGTACTGTAAGTGAGAGGACAGGAGAATCACAAATGGCATCTCATGCTTAGCCCACTGTGGAATAAGCTCATTAAATTAATGGGACATGATAGTCTTAACCAACTCAAGTTCCATTACTCAATGTGTATAGCCTATACAGGACTGATAGAAGAAATTATTCTCAGCACATATTTTACAACATTCTCTTATGCATGATTATGCAAAACTGCATTCACATGTGATGAGCACTTGCACACTGTTGCATTGGTGAGAGTAGAACAAGAGCAGAATTATCATCATTTAGTATGATAAATGAGGAGACAACTCTACCCCAGTTGAACCTTCACAGATATTCGATTATTAATTTGATTTAAAACTTTCCCTCTCATTATATCTCAGTAATTTTTATGAAGAACAGCTGGCTAGACCAGACTGCCATAACAGCTTTTAATACATTTGATAATTCATGCATCTTCCTTCAGAGTCTCCCTCTCTCTCAATGCTGAAAAATCCTACTTCTTAAAATTATTTTCTAATGATTTTGCATGACAAATCCTTTATCAACTGTGTCACATTCCCCTAAGCACCCTCCATATTTTAATGGAGATGTGAGCTATGACCAGTTGAAGGGAATAAAATATGTGCTCATCAAGAATGGTTTTGATCCACTGGAAATGCTGAAAATTCCAAATTATTTTTAATAGGAGGTCATATTTCACACATGGTAAGGAAAAAGGACATTTACTTGAGTTTCTGCAGTACATGTAAAAGCCAAGCAAAATTTACCTTTCTAAAATTATCTTTATGTCTCCATTTTATAGTTAAGGTAATTACTAAAGAATGTATGGGAACTTAAGAACTGCCATGCTTGATCATATCCTATATCCTTTTAGCACATAATTCTAGGTCTTCAGCAATCTCAATCAAACACTGTAAGGAAAATCACAAGTGGGGCAAGATGGTGATTACCTCTTTTCCCAGATGTCTGAACATGCGCACACACACATATAGCTTCTGCACAATGAGAAATTCCATTACTAACTCTTATGACTATTAATTGTGTACCTAATCATTAAAATATTTTAGGGTGCAATCTTATTTATGTTTAGAAAGAAAGTTTTACAATTTGCAGAATTCTCTAGCCAGCCATGCTGACTGTTAAATACTAGAAGTTGTAGGACATTTTTCTGTCTACACATACATAGAATTGTGCCTTTGACAAATGAATGAATAACATATAATTTCAATAGGAATAGCAAGACAAAGAGAAAATCCCTACCTTTTCCTGGGTTAACTGCTTCTGGTAGACTGTCCCAATCTAGGACCCAGCTAGGGCAAGGATGAGGAGAAAACTTGGCTTCAATACCATTTTCCTGTATTTAAGAGAAATAGAAATTCTAAATGAGTTAGCAATGCATGAAAATGATTTATTCATATATGGCAATTCAATAAGAAAGTGTTACATTTGCCATCATAGCACGGATGTCCCAATATCAGGGACTGCTGTATTTGCTTAATAGCAAATTTTCTTTAGAGATACTCTGTCACAAGTTCATTATCAAAGCACATTTCCTAGAGAGGCCAAAACTTTTAAAACAACAGGGAAAGCAAAGAAATGGGCCTTAGAATACTGGCAAATCCAGATAAGTTTCAGATTAACCAGCTCATAATAAGACTTGGCATATCTCACTGGTTAAAAACAGGAACCCAGAAGTCTATCAGATATGAGTGGAGGCATTAATTCATTCTAAGCAATTAGGCAAGTACCTTTTCTCTCAACTTCAGCCCTGTTTGCAATCCAGTGTTAATGGTGACTAGCTTTAAACTATATTATAAGTTTAATAAATTAATATCCATGAAGTATTTTAATAATTTGAAATTAATATCAGTTAATACAGTTTCTTATCCATTTCTTTACCTCCCTGGCAGAATTATCAGGAGCCAAAATGCAGTAATTTTCTGGTGAAACGGAAAAATGCATTGTTTTTCTAATACAGGAAGCCAGAATTCAAGTATGAATGATTTTTGCCTTTAAAGTGAGATAGAAACATTACTTTTTTTAAAAGTTAAATAATTAAGAAAAGAAGCCAGAAACATGGTTAATTTTACCTATATGCACTGACTGAAACATTCACATACCATGTCAAACAACTCTAATGACATGTTCTTTATGTCAATTCAGAGCATACTCAATGTAGACATAACATTTTATGGTTAATAAATGTAACTAATAATGTAACTATTAACTTACCATTAATTTTGAAAGTGTTGGCCTTGGTCCACCTATAAACTGAGCAACATCATGCTTCTCTTCTGTTTCATCAGAAACTGTGCTGATATTTTGCTGGCATTCATCTGGTAAAGAACATGATCCTGCATACTTGGAAAACTGCAGATTGCATTTGACAGCAGCTTGTTTTATTCCAGGCACTTCTTGAACTCTCTGGTACCAATGGAAAATCAAAGGCAACTGTGACCTGTTCTCTTGGTACTTCTTGCTGAAAGCCTTCAAGAAAAAATATACAATTTTGCACAATGGATTTCTTGACACACTTTCTCACATAATGAACAGTTTGTAGTCCCTGATTTAGGGAGCCCAAAAATTCAAACCAAATTAGAAGTTTGTTCCAGAGCTCATTCCTAAATTAAACTGTTCAAGTTCAAAGAGTAACAGAACAGCCAGCTTTAAACTTTTTGTTTTAAATGAAACCTATTTATTAATATTTATACCTTCTTTCTCTCTCTTGCATGGGAGAGTCAATTAAGTTGCTTTTCAACTTTTATCTCTATCCTATTTCAAGACCTACAAGGTACAGATAACCTTCCATGGTATGAAGATTTTAGCCTTGAAGAAGAACTTGAGCAGTACGATACACTCTTTCCCAAAACCAGAACATATGCACAAGGTCCTAATCCAACTCAGATTATCCATGAATGCCACAAAAACCAAGTGCGGCAGATGTTAATTCCAGTTACCATGAAGCTGAATTGTGGACAAAGTAGAAAAATGTCACAGCCTAAAGGCAACATAGATGCTATTCATTATTAAAACTACACTCAACTTGCAACTGAAAACAAAAAGGAACCTCACTGAAGATCTCCTACAGGCTCAAGCTTTACTGGGGAATGATGAAGTGAACTGTGGTACTTGAGACAAAAGAGGCAGCAGGTTCCAGCGATACACAGGCTACCATTTGTTCAAATAAGAAGCCTTTATTCTGATGCTTCTGCATCGAACAAAAGAAAGTTTTATTACAAGTACGATTACCCACTGAAAACCTATGACTTATTAAAAGTAAAAGAATTAAAACTTTTAAAGTCTGCTTCAATCAAGACATCATCTGCCTACTGTAGACAGTCTTGATGCTGACTCCTAGGTGCTGTTCCAGCCTGCAGAACATGCAATCTAAACACACTCATTTGTCAGGGGTAGGCAACTTTTTGTGGTTATGAGCACTTCTGGCAAATTGAGAGACCGCTCTGGCGACCACAAGATGGTATCCACAGGAGATACGGCAACTGGCACACAACCTGCTCAAAGACTGAATACAAGGCAGAGGCAGGGTCTGACTGCCAACCTATGAAACTATTCCTTTGAACTCAAATTTTGCATACCAACAGAAACCAGTTTCACCACAATCCCAACTACTATGAAAAATGTGTTAACACCAAGAGGCATTTCCATTAAGTCCTTTCTAAATACAGTGAAAATATCTGAATACATCCATATGGATTCCAAGAGATTAGACAGTTCCCACTACCTACTGGATAAAACTAACCAACCATTTGAAAAGTAATGTATTAAAGTATTAATATTTACCAAAAAGTGATGGATGCATGGAAAGAGAACTACATCTGCCAAAGTGAAATAAAGCCCTTCAGCAAAAACATGCTCCAAAAGTGGGAGTTCTGATGTTTTCATCTTTCTAATATGAGAGGGTTTTCTACAGGTAGCAACTGGCAATTTCTGCACAGTTAACTTAGAGAAAGCTACGCTCAGTTCCAGATCAGCAGGAATGGACTCCACAGTTTCTGATAATTTTTCTGCTTGTGAGGAAGCATCATTACTTGCTGTCTTGACAAATGTTGTTTGTTGTTCAACTTTCTGTCTTCGAATTTTATCATCATTGTGCACTTTTACAGGTTCTCCCAATTTCTTTTCAAACTGTAATACCTCTTCTGGAATATTCTGGTGCTGATCAGGCGACCCCTTTAGACAGTTTTCAACAGCTAGAGGAATGCTGATTTCACAAAGTCTGGTCCATTCGCTAACCTATAAATTAATATGATCAATGAGAAGAAAACAGATTTTATAGCCTTTACTCATTATTGTAAACTGGAGGACTCCAACAGAAAGCTGCAATGTAACACACAGCGGGCTCAGCTGTTTTTGTGGCAGAGCTAAAGCTCCAGTCTATGCATACATGTAAGGCAAGAGTTAAAGATCAGTTTCGTATTCCTGCAGGAACTCTGGGCTTCTGTCTTTCAAAACAGTAGTTTCCTGCACCAGTTTTGAAGCTGGGTAGAAATTCAGAATACTTTGTAATATGGTAAGCCAAGGAAAAGCCAACAGCAAACCCCCACCAGCTTGATAATTATTCTATTAAGCCATACCATTATATTTACTCAGCACAGTATCTTTCTGGATTGCCTTAACTTGCTTTGGAAGTTCAATAAGCCAGGGTTCAACCATCCAATATAGCACAAAGACCTTACAAACACTGATCCTTCCTGCTCCCCTTTTCCAAAGTTTTGTTACTCACAGGCAAAATTCTACCATTTGCAAAGTTCACATGAATATGACTTGTTACTGGCCCTAGATAATACTTCAATATTTCATTTGGTGTCTTTCAGTTTATTCCATACTAACATCTTTAATTGCTACTTCCTTGTAATTATTCAAGAAGCAATCCCCAAATGTTATTGCTTTGTTTTCATATACTAGTAGGGAGCATGGTAACAGGTCCCTTCCATGTTACACTGTGCACTGAATAAGACTTAATATATCTGAAGTTTATCACAAAGCAGTCTTCAATTGTTTCAGTAGAAATAAACTTACTTCAGCACAAGCTTTCAAACAGGTCTTTTTAAAGCCCAGCAGTTCCAAAACGTTCTCCTTTGATGGATCTGATTCATATGTTTTATGTATTATGTGTCTCAATACCACAGCAAGTCCTGCATGACAGAATGTTCTATTCTTTTCAACAATAGCAGGCAAACAGCAAATCTGGGCCACCAATGGAAGTTCACACCTTTTGATGAGGCAAATTTCCAGGTCTTTTGGCAGTACTTTGTCTGTAAGCTGGACATCTGAAGCGTTTTCATCAGGAGTTACTAAAAAAACTTTGAATGTCTTACAGTCACAGTACGACAACAGAAATAAGGATATATATGTATGGAGAGGAAAAATACAATCCTCTTTGTGATTAAAGTAGTCTAAGTACAGATGATCTTCTGCAATATCTTTCATTTTTTCTGAAAGGAAGTAATGTAAGTAATATTATAGAATATATGAGAGAGAGAGAGAGACACGCACACACACAGAGGGGGGAGGGACAGAGAGAGAGACAGAGAGACAGAGATTAATGATATATTAAACTTGGATGCAGACTTCAATCCCTATTTTGGAATTATCAATTCTATGAATTAATTAAATCATAACAGCCTAAAACTAAAGCTCCCAGGTGAAAACAAAATGTGCAGCTTGGGACAGCAGCCCCAAATTGTGTTCCTTTGCTACTCAATAATGTTTATGTTTCCTTGAGTCACTGTAACACCATCATGTTGTAGTATTTCTCACATCACATCACTGGCAGCTGGGGCAAGGGCAGGAAAGAGTTGGAAATAGCTTAAATTTTTCTAGGAGGGCAAAAAAACCTAAGTAGGATGATACAGTAAAACATGAGCATGGAGAAAATGTTATAATTAGCTGCTTAAATGCTATATACTATAAACAACCTGTCCAGCAAACCAATAAACCTAAAATTATTACAATTCTCATAAAATGTAATGATATGTATTGCACATGCATAAACTAAGAATTATTATTGCAATTTACAGTTTCATAGTGCTGATTACTTCATGACCACAAAAGAGGGGAAAGAATAATTTTGAATATTAATAATGAAATATTCTTTCTAGGGGACAGTTTTATTAAGACTATGGTAACTTAAACTGTTGCTATTTGGGTACATCATGGGAAGGTCAGAATAACTGGAGAAAACAATTATGCCAGAGAGAGTTGAAGGCCTAAAGAAGAGGAAGACCAAATAGGAGTTGGATTAGATTCCATACAGGGAGCCACAGCCTTGGGTTTACATGAGTTGAGCAAGGCTGTCAATGCCAGGACATTTGGAGGATACTTGTTCATTGGGCCACCGTTTCTTTGAGACAATCTGATGTTACAACAACAAACACTTACTTAAGTATTCTATATGCTATCCCTTTAAGCATACAAAATGAGCTGAATGCAATAAACTATGCACAACCAAGTCTATTACTATTCCTTTCATTAGCTTTCATGGAAATGTGTCTCTCTAGCAGAAAGCCTCTTCTGCACACAGAAAGGCTGATTCTGATCTACAGAACACAATCCAAAATCCAGATTCATCCTTTTATTTGCACAAGTCCTTGCAGAAGACATTGATAAAGTGCACTTACACCTTCATACTGGTTCCATCCATACTTCACACTAATCCATGGTTTAATGCAGTGTTTAACCTTACTCAGTGTCTAACCTTACTCTGGGATGGCATGCCCCTCCCCCGCCCCCGCCATCTTTTGCAATGGGTAAGAGTTCAGAAGTTAACGCTTTCATTTTTCTGCAGTTGGCTGTTTTGTCTGGGATGACAAAAAGTGATCAACATCTGAAGCTGGTATTTTAGTGAACCAGAATTAATATTAATCGCACTTCCAAGTTCAAATAACTTGACAAGTTATGGTAAACTAAGTGCAAAAATGTCCAAATTCCTTCTCTTGGCTGCCTGGGAGAAAGGGAGGGGAGGGGGGGAAAGTACAAACCTAGGAGAAAACAAGATTTGTTCACATCAAACTAAGTTGAAAGTTGCCTCTGTATCTCCCTTATTATGGGAAACGTAGCACAGCACCAGCTTCAATGTTCTGTGGTGACATACTGAAAAGGTCTTCTGTTGGGTTGTACAAGAGTATGTAGAATAATTCCCAAGTCTGCAATCCAAAACATCTATACTAGAGAGCAATCCCCATTGAACACATATAATTTTATATCCAAATAAACATGCTAAGAGGCTGAAAATTCTCTACACAGACTACTAAATGCAGTAGAACTGACTTCTTAGTTAACATGTACCCAGTTGTATTGCAATACACTTTATACTTCAGGTTAAAAGTCTTTAAACAGGGCAGTATCCACCAGGACCACTGTGCTTCTGATAATCGTTTTGTGCCAGGGGGATCTGCTTATACAATGGGAGTTATACTTTGTAAAGAAAACCCAGAAATGAGTGGGAAAACGTGTTTCTAAAGTGGTAGAAATCAGGGGAGCCCCTTCCTGTGAATGCCATTCTAGAAACAAGTGTTCTTGCCCAGTTGGGGTTACTCTAATAACTGCTAGCTCCCTGTTGGGCTAGCTGTGTATTCCTCTAACACAGAGACAGCATTGGATTCTTCCATTATATTTTAAAATAATTTCAGTTCAAATTATTTTTGCATGCTTTTTTTAAGCAAGACCTTTGTGACAGTACTCTGAAGGTAGTTGGGCACAGAATAAAGATAATTGATTCCATATAGAATTACAATTCTGTACCCATTATAGATGATTTCTGGAGGCCACTGACCACAGGATCAGTATTATACCTTTAATAAATGTTATACCGACCTTTGTATAAATTATATATCCAGCTTCAGCACCTGAGACACTAGATGGCACACTATCAAAACAATTAGAGCTGAAAAACAAAAAACCATGTTAGATTCTTTTATTATATTAAGAACTGTAGCTATTTATTCACAAGAATATTTATAACCTAATTTTCAGTCCTGAGAGCAGATTTCAAAACACTTATTGGCCGATACTGTTACTTTGACAGTCATATCACCACAGTTTATTAATTCATTATGCTTTTAGCACAACTTCAGGCACTAAATAGCATATTCAGTATAAATAGAGCATTTGAAATCACAAAGGATTCTTAATTTTTTTACTTGTAAAAATCGTAATTTCCAAGCGTTATAGAAATATTGTTGAACAACTTACAATTTCCAAACTGATCACTTTTGACACAGGACAAGCAGCCTGTAAGGATGCACACTAAAAGGTTAGCAAGAAAACCTAGAGGTACCTAGCTGCGAAGCCAACTCTAAACATACAAGTGTTGTCACTGCAATGAGCACTGCCAGTGATTACTGCATGGCTGTGCAACCGAAGCCAGAGCAGTAATCTTCAGGTTTTGTGACACCCCTAATAAAGAACAGCCAGTCCTGCACTCCTATTTGCTCCCCAGCACCTAATACTAAGGGAAAACCAAACCAAGACCCATGAAATGTACTAAATACACGATGTATTCTTTGGACTTGGCTTGTGACACAATCGGCAAAAAGCTGGCTACTATAGCATCCTCAAATACCAATAGCTAGTATCACCAGAGTGGAAGTATACAGTAGGATGCTAACACCTACCCTACCTCCTAATGTATGTATGTATATATTTATTTAGGGGACTTCTATGCCGCCCCATTCGCCGAAGCCTCGGGGTGGCTCACAACCATAAATAAATAGAATCCAATAAAACAATATAAATTAACAATATAAATTTGTACATGTGCATGTGAGAGCTATCCAATAGTATCTCTGCTAGGAGAATGAGATAAGATTAAAGGGAACTGCCACAACAGGGGCTTTGAAGAGGGACCTCACACAGTGCATACTTATGGAAATTACAGCCACAAGATATGCCAGCTTCTAGCTCAAATGATTTTAAAAAGGAATCTAGATGAATTCATGGTGATGCATAGAGTGGTATGGAAAGTTTCCAGGTTTTTTCCTTTTAACTATTTACAATTCCGCACAAACACATCCCTTATGTTTTGCATAACAAACTTGGAACTCTCCATAATACTCCAGACATCTGATAAAGGAGGTCACACTCAGCAAAGACCTAAGAGAAAATAAATTGCTTGTTCTTTAAATAGGCAATCCTTTGCATATTTGGGGGCGGGGGCGGGAGGAGGACTAAGTCCTACAGCTCCCAGCATTCCCCAGCCAACATGCTAGTTGAGAATGATGGGACTTGTGGGATTTATTACTGTTTGCATAGCCATAGATGACGCCTTAAAGTGCCAGACTGCTATTTTTGCTACAACATACGAACAAGAGAGTAGCTGAGAGCAAGGACGAAACAGCCGTGGATGGCTGGCAATCAGGGACGCAGACACTAAAATACATTACCCTCCTATTCCACCGCTTTTTAAGGAGACTCTCCTAAAAAGCAGAAAAATAGCCCGACGGGGCTACCTAGTGAGAAAGAAAGGCACTCTGCACGCGCCCAGCAGCAATTTATCGGGACTATAATTCTACACATTCCAAGACGGCTAACCCCGGCATTGAAAATGGGAGTTGGAGCCCCAGCACCGACGCCCGCTCTCCGTTTCCCCGCCACCGGCCCCTTCCCTGGAAACTTCCAAGGCTTCCCTACCGAGCAGCGGCCACAGCACCAGCACCTGCACCAGCACCAGCCGCCGGTCTCCCCCTGCAGCGCCAGCCCCCGCCTCTTCCGGTCCTCCGTCATGGCCGCCGCTCGTCGCTTCCGGTTCTTCCTGGAGCGGGTGAGCAAGCGCGGCGGGCTGCGCTACCTCCGGGAAGGAACGCGGAGCTTCCGAGGCGCCGGCGTGGCTCGCGCGGGCGGGCGGGGGAAGGAGCAGAGCCCCGCGGAGCTTCCCAGCCGGCGATTGCCTGGAGGTGAAAAGCGGGGCTGGCGCGGCGCGGCGCGGCGCGGCGCGGGCTCTTGCCGGGTGCTCCGCCTCGCCCGTCGGGTTGGGGTCAGGTGGCCGCCTGTGCCGCCCCGGTCGGGAAGCATAAGGATCAATGATTGCAGCGGCGCGAGTAATGCCATTTTCTGTTTCGTAAACCGCCCTGAGAACGGATGTTGAATGGCGGCATAGAGGATGTTTCAATTTTACAGGAAGCCGTTTGAAGTATTTATATCGGGTGTTTAGAGGCTTGGCAGTGCTTTTCGTATAATATTTAAGGATAGGCTTATGCATGCTTAGGGAGGAATAAAGGCCTTAATTCCCAGCATGCTGCCAGCCAGTATAATTGTCTGGGGCATTCTGGGAGTTGTAAGCTAAAGCATCAAGTGTTGCCATCTTAATCTAGTCTAATGCTACGTTATTCCTGATTGGTGAGCAGCTGGGCTTAATTGTGATTAATTGCCCTGCAAGGTAGACCCTAGGGGACCCTTATGCCCATGTTCCAGAACAGGAGACTAAGAGTGAGAAAGTGACTTGAGAGTTGGATCTGGCCATCCTATCTCTGCCCCATGGCCACTAGACCCACATATCTATCCATCCATCCATCCATCCATCCAATCCAGGGATAGACAGTATTAGTCCACAATTTTGTTTGGGCCTAGCCTGTATAGCCATTGGTGAGGTATGATGGGAAATATAAGCCAAAGCATCAGGAGGCTCACATGTTGTTGGAAAAAAGTACAACAGAATCTGCGAAGGGAGGATATTGACAAACTAGAACAGGGGAGAGTGGCAAGGTTGGTGGAGGATCAAGTTCTATAAGGAAGGAGCTAGGATCTTTAGCTCGAGAAAGAGTTGATTATAGGGTGATACAACCAGCTTCAAATATTTGAAAGACTTTCACCTAGCAGAAGGGAGCAAAATTGGTTTCTGTTGTCCCCAAAGGTAGGAAGTAAATCAGCAAGTTCAAATAGCAAGAAAAAGAACTTCAATTAGGAAGAAAGTCTTGTGAACTCTGAATAAGCTGCCTTTATTTCTTCCAGTAAAGGTTTGTAAACAGAGGCTGGATGACCACCTACCTGGGAGCTATTGCCATTGAAGTTTCTTCCAGTACTTTAACTCCACTGCTGATTTTGTTTGTTGTTGTTTCTTAGCACTGTCTTCTCTAGTAAATCTTGCCTGTCATGATGTGTCCAATGTATGACAGCTTCAGTTTTGTCATTGTTGCTTCCAGAGACTGTTCTGGTCTGGTTTTATCTAGGAATTACTTGCCATTTTAGTGCTGTATTATTTATAGATGGCACATTGGTCAGTTAACTAGTCAGTTTATCACTACAATTAGTCAAGTATTTTCAAATGTTGCATGAAGGCAATAATGCCACTGGCTGCATAGCTGTTTACATTTTTAATGTCATTATGGTGTCATTTGCTAGCAAGGGCATAAGCAGCTTGTAGTCAGGCAAATTTAGCAGCATAGCAAAACTCTTTATTAACTGCAGGTATCTTTCAACAGGAACACAAGGAGGTCACTGCCTAAGACCCTCCGTGGCTCAGCCTTATTTGTTGTAGGGAACAAGGAGTGCCCATTCAATGTGATCTGCAATCTTCACGAACTGATGTAAGAAACTAGACTCAGATCTAGAAACTTTTTTACATTTAAAAAGTTGCCTATTATTCTAAACAGTGATGTTAATGATGGAGAAAGTTTTATTTATTTATTTTTATTTATAATACTCATGATATAATATCTGTAAGTAGTTTGTTTATGAAGTTGGAAAAAAAGCCTATGTATGTTACAACATGACAAGAAACTGTTACAATTTACCAAAACCTGTAAAACAGCAATGTAAGCTTGTGTAAACAAGTTTACAGAGAACATTGAAAACTTGTTACATATTACACCCTTCAAACCATGTGGAGGAAGGTGCTCCAAAGAGTAGAAACCACTAGTGAGAAGGCCTGCTTTTGTGATTTTGCAGCATTGTCCAATATCTTCTGGACACCTGTGGTTGAGAGAAGCTGCTGGATATCCACTTGTCAGCCTTATTCAGCGTTTGATGTCCTGCTTGGGATGCCTTCATTCACTGAGGTTTGGTGGGAAGGTCTACCAAAATCAGGGTCACATGGTGCTAACTTTGTAGAATGCTCTTGCTAGGGAAACATTCCGAGCATTTATACTGTGTTCCTTTAAGTGCCATGAAGATGTGTTCCAAAAGTAAAACTCTTCCTTTAGTCTAAGGGTATTTCCAGATGGAAGATTCCTAGTATCACCATTCAGAAATCTCTATACAGGAAGTCTCCTACATACAAACCTTCAAGTTGTGAACTTTCAATGATGCAAAAATGCTTTTGTGAACTGTACTGTAATAACTACTGTAATAATTTACTGTAATAAGTAAAGTTCTGGGAGAGCCAGTGCGGTGTAGTGGTTAAGAACATGGGACTGGGACTCAGATGGCCTGAGTTCTAGTCTCTGCTCATCCATGGAGCCAACTGGGTGACTTTGGGCCAGTCACAGATGCTCAGCCCAACCTACCTCACAGGGTTGTTGTGGGGATAAGATGGGGGAGGAGAATGATGTAAGCTGCCTTGAGCCCTTTGTAGAAAAAAGGCAGGATATAAATCCATAAATAAATAAATAAATAAATAAATAACAGAGAGAGGTTAATCTTGCAAAGCATAACACAAGTCGCACCAATCTAATGGTAACACCATATGAGGAAGAACCCATCAGATGAACAATATGGCTGCACTTCCATGTACCCAGAAGTATAACTTCTGGAAGTCCTCCAGTGACATCAACAGAAGTCCTCCAGTGTCATTATAAATTTATTACGGTACAGTGCTATATACCTGATTGTGTTAGTTGGGTACCTAGGCTAACTTTGTTGGACTTACAAACAAACTGGACTTACGAGCATGCTCTTGAAATGGAACTCATTCATATGTAGAGAACTTCTTGTACAGCTGTTAATGGACGTTCCAATTAAAAGACAAGTAATGATGGCAAATCTGCAAGGGTAAAAATTTGAAGAGGACACCCTGACCCCCTGTCCCAGGGTCAGTAGCTTCAGTGATGTGCTAGGAATAGGGTGCAAGAACTTTATACCCTATGTTTTAAATACATGAAATTAAGCCCCAGTTAATTAATCTTTGAAACTGTTCTTCAGTAATCAACTATCTGAAAGCTGACATATATGATTGCTTACAATTCTGTATTCTCATTATTCATTTTCATTTAAAGATGCTGCTATGGCTGCTACTGTGAATTTGGAACTTGATCCCATATTCTTGAAAGCTCTGGGGTTTCTGCACTCAAAGAGCAAAGATTCGGCTGAAAAACTAAGAGCACTGCTTGATGAATCTTTATCTAGAGGGATTGACTCAAGCTATCGTCCATCACCAAAGGTATTAGAATAAATAAACTGAGTGTACAAAGCATTCTGTGTTCTCTATAATAGCTGAAAACAGGGTTCTTTCTCTGTATTAGAAAAAGCAACTAAGAAAGCATCCTGTGGTTCCAGAGGAAACATCCCAGGGGCTATAGGATGGTTTGGAAAACTTTTCCAAGGTAAAAACAGAATTCTGAATTTGTATAGTGAATTCAGAGGTCTGCCGCTTTTCCCTTGGAGCAGGAAACAACTGCACTGGCTGCCCTCCAAGGTGGCAAAATGAGGAGGAGGAGGAAAGGAAGTATTCTGGTGAGTGTAGAGAGGAAGATACTGGAGAGGCCATGTGCAAGATACCCTGAGCATCTTGAGCTTCTTTTCCCTTCAAATACCCTTGGTAAACAGACTGAAACTGGAGGCAGGAAGGTGAGGATCACCTCTCCTGCTTTTCCTGCTTTGTCAGCTTCAACTCAGTAAGGCATAGGAATCTCAAATGCCTCCAAGTTTGTAATAGAATTACCCTAAGAATTGAAATGAAATTGTAGAATCATCAGTATTTATTTTCATTTTTCTATGCATTTACAGCTTGATTCAAAGCATGTTTACTCAGAGGTAAGTCCCACTGAACTGAATGGACATTCTTCCTTAAGAAACCTTAGAATTCTATTCTGTATCATTGAAATCTGTGTAAAATTGAGGTTGGTAGATGGTATTCCATGATTGAATGTGTCCTAAGAAGGCTGCTAAGTAAGATTTAAATTAGCAGCCTGGAACAAGAGCCAGCTTTGTGTAACATTCCAACTATCTTTATTTCACTCATGCTGCAGAAGTCCAGTTTAATAGTGCTGATGCTCTTACTGCAACTTAACTTAAAAGAGGGATGAGGAACCTGCTACATTTCCCGTGTCGTTGGACTATAGATTCCATCCTTCCTGGCCATTGACCAAGCTGGCTAGGGCTGATAGGCGTTGGAGACCAACAATGCCTAGAAAGCCATGGATTGCTTATCCTCGCTTTAAAGGGTGGGCAGTTACATAAATTTCATTTCTAGTTAATTCTCTTGTAAAAAGCTGTCAAATGGAACAGTGTTACTTAGGCTGGGTGGTAACAAATGAGTGTTTTATTGGACTAGCTCATCTCTTTATTCTCTGGGACATAAAAACAGAATCTGGAACTACTCTGGCCTGTTTCAGAACAGTTCTTATGATTTTCTGTTGACAGAGAAGACCTTTATCCGTACTATATTTTATGATTAATCATGTACTGGATTTGGTACTTCATTAATCTGTGCTGCAAGAGAGCTCTAAGAATGCCTCTTTCCCCCTTATCTCTTCTTCTTTTCTTGATTTGGAACATGAGAACAATGTCTTCTTTCTATTTATTTGCTTATTTTTATTGATTATTATTTTAAGCTCTTTTAAGGGTGAAATTCAAGATAAAAACCAAACAACACAAACACAACATAAAACTCTACATGAGCATATAACTTACGAACAGAACATCTTTGAAGTTTCATAGGGAGCAAACATGAAATAAAGGTCAGCCATTCAGTGAGCCTGAAGCAAGCTGAAACAAATTAAAGACATCTATTTAATTTAAAAATAATGTAGCTTCTACTTTTGTTTGAAAGACCAGCTTGCAGAGGAAAGCATTATTTGATCCTGGAAAGAAGGATGTAACTGCCTTCATATAGAGAAGTATTACAATTGGGAAAAAAAAGCTGGGATAAACCATTGTCATGTTTGCTTTCCATATATAGGAATGTATGTATTTACATAGTTTGGTATTGTAAAATACCATTCTCCCATCTGCTGCCTTAAAAGTAGTATCTAGGAAGAGCTGTATCATGTCTCTATCTAGATATTTCATAGCACAATCCTGTACATGGCTATTTAGAAGTAAACCTCAGTGGGACTCATCTCCAGGTAAGTATGTGTAGGATAGTTCTGATAGTTAGAACTAGTTTCATTTAGTTCTCTTCAGCTAAACTAGCTGTGTACTATGGCTGCTTGAGCAAAAACACCCCCCCACCCCAATCCATAAGGACATATACAGATGTCAGGGCTTAGTATATCCCTGTCAGAAACTCCATCCTAAGAAAGCATTCATTCCATTTTCCTTTCTTTAATGGTACAGGGACTAACGTTATAAGTTATTTCGCTTCTGCAATGTTGAGTTTATTTAATTGTTTTCAGAAATGCAGTGATCTACAATGTTACCCTTCATGTAACATCCTTGTTATGCTTTATTCAGGAAGTAGATCAGCCCAAAGTATCTATAGCAAAGCCAGTTTCTGTTAAGCAAGAGCCCAAGGCTTCTTCGGGCCTTCCTACAGGTGGCAATAATGGCAAACCTATTACAGCCGAAAAGGTGAAAAAAGAGGTGGAAAAAAGATCTGATAAAGTAAGTCCCAGTGTCATGCGTAAAACATTATTGGGAGATTTTAAATGTTGCATATTTGTAAAGCTGTGACTCATTATAGCTTTGCTTCTTGGGTGGCATTAATCCTTGAGTACTAATGTGTTCTGCTCTGCTAGCTGTATCTGCACCATATGTTACTTAGTTAATTGCTCTCTGCTCTCAGAACTACGAGCTGTATGCTTTCTTCTCTATGCAGATCATTTAATTTTCAAAGGGTGCCCTTTTCCTTGTCTACAAGTTACTTCGCTGGTTCTCGGTGTTGCATGCTGATAAGGGAGCATGTTAATTTTACTTAGGCCTTGTTTCTTTTGCCTCCCCATGCACTTTCACTATACCCACCCACTGTTTGTTTTTTCACTACTTGACAGCAGGGTTTCCTTTTAATGCAAAGCTGTAATTAACTCTACCTGATGCCAGCATGGAAGTTAACAGCAAGAGCGATAGGCCTGGAAACCCTGGTTAAAATCTTAGCCATAAAATCATTTGGGTGACCTTGGACAGATCACCACATCTTAGCCTCAACCCTGTTTATATTATGGGGTGATAGTAGTTTTAAGTGTCCAAGTCCATGTAAGAATAACACAGTCTTAATAGGGGAAGTATTTTAATATTACTATGCAAATATGGCATTCTTTTTAACAGGTATGGAAACTTGTTGAGTCTTTTAATCCAGAAAATTATTTTATGAGATTCAGTTTCAAAATACAAACAATCCTTAAGATTAAGTTCTGCAATGGATGAAAATTACTTTTACACTTTTTGGAAGAAAACTAAAGCACCTTTCCAGTGCTTTCAGCATCAACAAATCATTATGTTTTTAATTTGCCAATACATGTCAATCAACATATTCAGATCATGAATATGTTGCACAGTATTACTGTAACATTCTGAGTCCCCCATATTCTGCATAATTGGGAATGTATAGGTATCTGTTTATATTAATGAATGTAGAATATATTACATTCATAAATAGCTTTCCAATATGCAATGTAGCATTTGCTATGTTTCACTTCTGGACTGGCTTCCAAATCTTATATTTTTACCACCTCTGAATGTATATGTCATTTCTTAGATAAAGTTGGAAATCAGTGAAGGAGTTGACATTCCGAAGAAACCAAGACTAGAAAAGCCAGAGGCTCGTTCTTCTCCAATCACAGTGCAGACTAGCAAGGATTTGGCCCTGACAGACCTTTCTAGTTTTGAAGAAACCAGTGCTGATGATTTTGCCATGGAAATGGGCTTGGCTTGTGTTGTTTGCCGGTGAGTTTTCTATATTTGGCAGTTGTAAGAGAGTTGAAGTGCACAATTATTAATTATGTTGCCAGTTGTAAATAGCAGTAGATTTTCTGTTATGCACAGATCTTGCTCCCTTTGATATTTTTATTCTAAAGGATTTCCCCCATGGTTCATGATGTGAAAGGCCTTTGATATAAGCCATGTTTTAAAATTGTCAGACTATCAGCCTGTGGACAAAGGACTGTAGTCCTAGTTCCCCTTTTTCTAGTTAAGGTTGCAGTCTTTTGCAAAGAAATAAGCTTATATTGCATGGAAGTAAATTTCTACAGATTTCTTAAATTTATAGTTTATTATTAAATGAAATATTTTTGGTCAAACGTTGTCCCCTACAACTGCTAATATGGTGCCTTCAGTATACAGAGGAAGCCCCTGCGTAATGCATTGCATATCTTGTACCACCTGATATTGAAGGAACTCACGGATCCTTCAAACATTAAAGGCTTGGAGGGAATGATCCAATGTCCCCAAATACTTGGAAGGTTTGCACACCATGACAAGCTACACTATGTAGAAAGCTACACTGTCCCTAATGCACCCAACAGACACTAGCATTACTACAGTAGCATTAGGGTGTCTCTTCCTTTCAGGTGTACAGATATGGAGACAGCATGCAGGCACCAAAATGTCCAGATACTTCAACTGGTACAAAATAGAGCTGCCAGGCTGCTGACAAGGACTGGCGTTGTTCTCATATAACCCAGTCCTCTATCAGCTCCACTGGCTCCCCATTGAAGTTCGGGCCCAATTCAAGGTGCTGGTTATCACCTACAAAGCCCTGAGCGGCTTGGGACCTGGTTATCTAAAGGAGCGCTTGCGTCCATATATGCCCTCCCACCCCTTGAGATTGGCGGCAGAGGCCCTTCTCCGGGAACCCTCCCTGAAGGATATTAGGAGGGTGAGTACTCGGAGGAGGGCTTTCTCTGCGGTGGCGCCCAACCTATGGAATTCCATAGGTCGTTAATTGTTTTTCGGCACCCGGCCAAGACCTTTTTATTTAAACGCTATTTTAACTGTTAAGGTTGATTTTAACTGTTGATTTAAGGTTGAACTGACCATTAAATTTTATTTAATTTTATGTATTTTATTTATTCGATGAAATTTTGTGTATTTACATGTGTGATTTTATGATTGTAAGTCGCCCCAAGGCTTATGTGATGGAGGCGGCATACAAGCTGTCTAAATAATAATAATAAAAATAATTTCTGCTTGACAGTGGTTCTGGGGATGGGGAGCAGTAGAGCACCCAAGTGCTTCTGGGGTGAAAAGCACTGTTGGACACCGCAGCCCAAGGACATTGTGTAACAGTGAGAGCCCCTTCCCCACTGCTGTCCTAAAACATCAGGTTGGAATAATTCAGGCAGAGAGCAGTTATTCAGAATCATTCTCTCTGCCATATTCTTTTGGGCCTCTCTAAAGAAAACCCAGGAGTATGTAGCTTGTCCCATCACCAAACATATCCCATGCCTACCCAGTGCCTCTTCTTCTGTACTGGATGAAGGTGAAGCTCCAAGTTCTGAGATTTACAGTCATCTCTATAGGACTGTCCCCTAACTTACACCATTGACTCTTGTTTCAGTGTTCAAACCAGTCACTTCAAAAGTTCGCTCTTACTGACTTCAAAGAAACTGTTTTTGAATTGACTGAAGGGGACAGTTTCTGCCTAGACAATTGTTGAATTTAACTGTAAACTAGAGGCATGAAACTAACAGCAGCAGCATAAATAAAAATATAAGTATCAGCATGGCAGTCAACAGGGAGGTGTGTTCAAGGTTGAGCATGAAAAATGTTTTTAAGCCATTGAAGAGTTTTCAGATATAATGTTTAGAAGCAAAATGCTCTGTGTGATTGCAGGTAACATATCAATCCTATCAAATTGGAGGATTATTTAAAAAAACCTTTAAAGAATATGTTCTAAGACCATAAGTTATATATTTAATATTTTGTTTTTGTTGTTTTTAAAGTCAGAACTATGTCAACTGTTTCTGTTTCAAAACCAGCTGAAAACAAAATCTGGAATTTTTGTCATGTAAAGTGTGCATGTTACATTTATGTTTTTAAATCTAGGCATAATCTTCTGTAGTGTTAAAATATGGAAATTAGTTTGTCCTCTTGTGTAACATTGTTGAAAGATACTTACGTTTTATGATCCAGTTTGTTTTAAAGACCTATATATTTCCTGGGAAATAAGTTCCGCTGAAATTAATGGTTCTTATTCCTGCTTAGAATCACACACTGCATGTTTCAGGATTTCCTGGGGGAGGGGATCTAGTTTGACTTTCAAATCAGCCAACCTTAAAAAAAAATGTTTCTCAAAGCCATCTGGACAATACCTCCAGTCTTCATTTTCTCATTAAATAAAGGAATCACATATTTCCGTTTCCCACCCAACTGCAAATAGCGTTTCCATGGTTACCTCTGTACCTGTACTATGGGGATATGTGCAAGAGTGGCTTAGCAATCAAGTAACCTGATTTGTCATCTAAAAGTAGTAGTCGTTAGGGAAATAGAGTTTAACTAACTCAGAGACATATTTTCATTCACATGTTGTCACCGTATTTTCATTTATAGTTTTTTGAGAGAAGCCCACACATCCGTATCACTGATCCTGTATTCATGCCTTCAGATCATAACTGGGACTAAGCTTTTCTGCTACTTCAGTTTCTATTTCTAGGCTAACCTATATTCCTAGTTGCTGTGCAAGGTGAAAGATATGACATGGTCAGCAACAACTGCAAAACCTTAAGTAACTTTTGCATCTGTACCACATTTCAATGTAGCAAGAGCTGCACGTTCATGCCTTGATCACCTTCATAAAAACTACTCCTATATTTTATACTATGTATAATAAAGTACTATTGTACAGCTTTTCAGTTCTGTATATTTTCTTTCTACCCTTACATCTGATGCAAATGTCCTGTTCTTTAGGTCTCTTTGCAATCTTTCATGAAACAGCTTAAGATGTCCTGCAGTAACTTCTGGCTATTTGTCTTACTTCCCCAGCTAAATCACATTATGTGCTTGACTGTGCTCACTTCAGTCCATTTTGTTTTCTGAATTAACTGAACTCATTCTTTAAATTTGATGCATTTGCTCACAGTTGTGCTAACAGTTTGGATAACTTTCCCCTCAAGCAGAGGCAACATGTACTTTTGAGCAAGGAAGCTGGCAGGCCTTCGCATCTCACCCACCAGAAAATTGCTGTTTCAGAGCCTAGCACTCTTTCCTGACTTGTAGCCATGCTGGCTGAGTTGAAGTTTTAAACTTCACTAGCACCAGGTTGGGAAAGTTGCATGCTCTGTTGTATTCTCAAATTCTTTAAGAGGTTTAGGGCTAACACATTGGATTCCATGTTACATGTAGTGGGCCAGGAAGCAAGACAAGTGTGCCTACTGTGCAGAGATGGAAGACATAAACACATACCTTACACTGTGCCTTGTGCCCAGCTTCAAACTGTCGTAAACTTTCTGGAGCTGTGGCCAACTTGTGAAGTTCTGCAGAAAGTGTGCACTTGACAGGGGTCTTTTGAGAAGAGCCATTTAGAAACTGCCTTGTAAAGGTCCAAGCTGTGTTTCAAGGAACAATGCTAATTTGTATTGAACATTTTGTTCTTTGCAGGCAAATGACAGTTACTTCTGGGAATCAATTGGTAGAGTGCCAGGAATGTCATAACCTCTACCACCAAGACTGCCACAAGCCTCAAGTAACAGACAAGGAAGTGAATGATCCCCGTTTAGTGTGGTATTGTGCCCGATGTACCAGGCAAATGAAAAAAATGGTAAGAAGTTTTTGCCAGAATTACTGATACTTGCAAAGACATATTCATTGTGTTAGTTAAGGAAGGGATTTCTTGATTTAGTATAAAAAGGAATATTAGAAAAATATGTAGTCAGTGTGTTAGGAGAAGGAGGGATGACAAAGTACATTTTGCCCCAGGATTGATTTGTTGTGATGTAAGACAATTTCTTATTAGTTTTATATGCTTTCTGTTTGTATTTTTTAGCTGCTGTTTTATTTTCATATCTTCATAGTTGCCAAAGACAAGGCATTCACATTAAAAGTCAAGCAATGCGAGCATATAAGAAACCTAATCCCCAACTCTGTGGAGCTGAATCATGGTTTCTGTGAATTACCTTGTCAGCAAGAGAGTGACAAATACTGGGCCACAAAGATGCATCCTTAGGCATCCACAAAGATGAGGCGTTGCCTTTCTCTGGCGATAGACCTTTACTTTCCTGGTAGCTGTTCCTTGATTTCACAAGTGGAGAGCTTACCGTTCTTGAAATATCAAAATTTGGTTAGTAGAATGAACATTTTAGTAATAAAAATACAATGTTTTAAAAATGTCAAGGTACCATGAAATAAATGTTCAAAATAAAGATACATTTCTGAATCTTCTGCTAAAAGTCATGTCAAAGAAATACTGGCCTGGTTTACACATAACAGTAAGTTAGAATTGCTGAGATTTCTAGTTTATCACTTATAAGCAACAAGCTTCATTTCTGTTTAGGTTCTCCTGCTCTCAGGTGAGGCTAAATAAATGAGGAAAACTCTCACAAATGCAATGCAATTTAGCATTACATCTGAACTGCAATTCCTTGTTTGTCATTCACAAGCAAGACAGAAATCACCTGACTTCAGATTACAGCTTGTTAGGATAGTGGCAAACCAGAAAGTAATGTTTAACAAATCAGTGCTGGATATTTTCAATGTTGTTTAGTAACTCCTCTGTGCAGAAAGAACCAAGCGGGAACAATCAGGTAGCATACACTAGTTTTTTGTTAATTAGCCAGAATTTCGAACAATTCAGACTTCTCTTTTTTCTTGCAAACTAACTCAGTGCAAACTTGCAAACTAACAGTGTCTGATAAGGCCTAATCAACTTTGAAAAAAAAAAAAACAGTTTGCAAGAAAGAAAAAAAGACAATGCATTATTTGGATAACATCAATATTTTTATGCATAGGGGTGGCATGATCATCTTTTGTGAAGCTTATTGCCTTGATTCTTGTATTTTTTTAAAATCCACATTAAGAATGAATTCATATGACCCTGTTTCTCTTGCCAATGGTGATGTTTACAATACCAAAATAAAAGCAAACCAGTAAGACTCTACCATAAGCTAGTTTTATGATTCCAGTTTACTTTGGTTAAATACTTCCTTTCTCACTTGAAACATTCCCTGCCCCTACCTCATGTACTCCGTTTCAAAAGTTTATTTCCACATAGCTTAAAATTCCATGTATCTTTGTTTCAATTTGCCACCTTAGCTTTTTTTTCATTTTCATTTCCAGGTGTTCCTTACCAGAATGATTAGTAGAGAACTGTTTGCTTTGTCATTGATTTAAATTGTTTTATATATAATATGATAATTTAGGAATGTATATATAATTTACACAGGCTCAGAAAACACAGAAGCCTTCCCAGAAACCTGGCCCAGCTGTAGTTTCAGTAGCTCCAGCTGTGAAAGATCCACTGATAAAGAAACCAGATATTAAACTAAAGTTGGAGACCACATCAGCCTTCTTAGCATTTAAGAGGACTGAAGTCAAGGTGCTGTATATAAAATGTTCTGCAGAAAAACAACTTATTTTGCTGTGTTTTGCACAGGTCTTTTCTTTCCTCCCTAAATTACAACTCAGAAGTAAATCAGTTTTATTTCATTTTCTACTTTGTTAATAATTCTGAATGTATGATAGAATGTATATCTTGTTTAGATACAAATCCTCAATAAAACACACAATTTATCTAAGACATCACTTATATTTGCACTGAAGATTGAGGCATCTAATAGAGGTCAAGTTGGCATTTATGAATCACTTTTCCACTACAAAGTGGATTATAGTAAAATAGTTAAAAATTGAAATTATTTTTGTCTCTTGTGGCTAAAGAGGTGCTGGAAAAAGTCCGCTTAAGGAGAGTCGCTAGCAGAGACTTAGCTTCTCACAGCATGGCAATCAGTGCTCAGGACTGAAACTGTGGTGTGAACCCAGCTGCCACAGACAACTCAGAGAGAGAATCCATAGTTTTTTGTTGCATTGTGAACTGTGAGCTGTTTGCAGTTGGTAGTGCAGTTGGGGCACACCACACAACAACACACATTTCAGTGGAAATATCTGTGCTCAACTTATACTCAATCTTATGTATAGACTAAAGTGTAGTGAACCAAGAATTAAAATCTTGGGTCAAAAAGCATTCCAGAGCATGTGCAGATAAACTTCACTTTCTCTACAACTTGGGGGCATCCACTAGTCATGGAAAACTTACGAATCTTTCTTTGAGCTGAAATTAGGATTCTAAACATAAATTTTGCCCCTATTTATTGATACTGCAGATCAGTTTAGACCTGGGGAGTGTGTAGGAGAATTTCTCTAGAGGTCCTAATATTTGTAATTGATGACCAATTTCTGTATTAGCCTGAAGGAAATTTACCAAGCCATAGTTTTACAAATAGATAATTGGAAACAAAAGCTGTGATAGAGCAAATTTATCTTTGCTTTTACCTTTTTAATAAGTGAGGCTTCTTTAAAAAATCACTGTGCTATTATACAGTTTCCATTAACTTTAATGGGACTTATGCAGCACCATTCCTGGTTGATGGTGCAAGTGAAATGCACTGCAGATGGAGCAGTGTTTTTCTTTTTGCTAGATTTTCCCTGACCATTGTCTTCCGAAGAATCATCAGAAGCTGTGGCAAGCACAAGTCATATGTGGTAGCACATAGCCAGTCAGCCTTATTTGCCTATTAATTGGATAAACAGAGAAGATCCTTTTTTCAGCGCACACACACAGCATTGTTTGCTTTCCCATAAATGTGTTTCTGGGATTCACTCTTCATTGCCTGGTTAGCAGCAAGGCTAGATAATAGAAAGCAACCAGCATAGTGGATTCTGCTGGACCCCTTTTCACTTCACAAGTATTAAAATTCCCTGCAGATTGTAGATATGTTTTTAGGGTTGTGCTCCGTTGTGATTATTTAGTTCTTAGGGAGAAAGTACAGTGTTGTCTTTTCTGGAGAATCAAAGATACCTCTATCTGTGAGCCTTCGATTCATTTGCTTTAAAAATAAAGCAAGGTGACTTGGAATGAAATACTAGTTCTATTGTGTTATTATCTAAGTAAATCAACAATATGACAATGTTTATACCCAGCAAAGATCTGCTGTAACTAATGTGGGGATTGTTTCTTTTTTGTTGTAGACTTCAGCAACTGTTTCTGGTAACTCTGCAAGCACCAGTGTTTCCTCCTCTTCCACCAGTGGCCTTACAGGGTGGGCAGCATTTGCAGCGAAAACATCCTCTGCAGGCCCGTCCACAGCCAAGATGGGATCCACCACGCAGAGCACCAGCAGCAAACCTGCTGCTGCCTCAAGCAGTCAGAAATCTGTGGGCTTGTCGGGGTTGGCAACAGCTAAAGCAGGCCTCGGGTCAAAAATAGCATCTCCGAGCAATAGCACGAGCCCCGTTCAGTTGAAGACCCTGCCGCCTCTGCCCCTGGGGAAAACGAGTCTTTCTCGTTCGGTTAGCAGTGACAATGTGAGCAAAGCAGGACTTCCTAGTCCAGGCGGTTCAGCTCCAGGCAGTAGCCAGTCTGCCGGTGGGAATGGAAGTGGTGGAACAACAGGCAGCAGCGGGAGCAGCACCAGTAAATCGAGCGCAGAATCTGGCAATCAGTCCCCGTCTTTGAAAGGCCCTACTTCTCAAGAATCACAGCTCAATGCTATGAAAAGGTTACAGATGGTCAAGAAGAAGGCTGCTCAAAAGAAATTAAAGAAGTAATACAGCTAGCGCAAAACAGAATCGAATAAACCTTTTTGTCTTCAAAACACAAATCTTTAAACCCTAGCTGCAGTTGAACAAAACCTAATAAAATTATATAATTAACTTATAAAATGTTGTCATTATTTGGTAGTGGCTTGAACAGTGTGTGTTGTGTTGGATTTTCAGTTATTCCTATATTCTCGATGTAGTTTGGGCTTACTGGATTGTATCCAGTGGCATGATTCCACTTGTGCCTAACGTGTACTGCTTTGGGAATCTCATTTCCATCCGTGTGCAAGTAACAAATTCAGTACTTTGATTCTGCTTGTACACTTGCTATTATAAATAGTTGCAGCTGTGTTCTTGCTTGAAGTTGTTCCACTGGGACCAGAAGATTACACAAGCATTAGTAAAACAATGTCTAAATGCAGTATTTCAGAGGGGAAGGAGAGTAGGCTGAGTTGCCAAAAATATACATTATATTATAACAATGTATCCTCCTGGGCCCCTAATACTCCTTCTCAGACCTCAGAGAAGCAACCAACATGGTTTGTTCTATGCCCACTGCAAGTGTGGGACCCGCCCCCACCCCCATAGAATTGCTTTCTTAAGACTTCCTTTAATTTCAGTTCTTGGCATTAGAATTGTTGGTGATATCATAAGGTCTGAAAACCTGTTTTATCTTGATTATGATGACAGATGTCAAGATACACGATCAGAGCAATGTTCAACTAGGATAATTATAGGACATTATTTGGATGACATAAATATTTGCAAAAATATATCTTTATTAAGTAATTTAAGAGCAAATATTACCTCTGAGTCACCAACATTGCTGTAGTTATAATTCACAATAATAAACCTTTAAATCATACAGCTCTGTTCCAGCAATATTTACGCTGGAAGGAACAAAGCCTTTTACTTGTGTTCTGATGAATCATCTTGAATGCAAAGACATTATTTAGGATTAGAAGAGATCACACACAGGTGGAAGGAAAATTTGGAAGAAATAAGTAGACCTACCAATGGGCCTAGTTTTTTTCATGTGCCGTCTGAATAAAAAAGTGTATATACACTGGTTTACCAAAGGCAGATATGAATCCTCATGGCAATCTTTTGATAACAATCTGCTTATTTGAAATTATTGCATAGTTAATAATGTGAGAAACTGCTACAAAGGCTCTTTTCCTCGGAATTGGTGTTACATAGGTATTGCTCCTCTGGACTCCCACTTGTTCAATTAATTTGCATTTCATTCCTCTAAAATACGGGTTGCATCCTGTTTGGCACCAGAACTAGTGTAAATTATGTTGCACCAGCACAAATGACCTCTAGCATGACATAATTTACATTACCACTTGTGCTGAGTAGGATACTGACCTGGAATCTCTTCTACTTATTGAGAGGTTGTTATTACTTAAGGTCACCAGATCCATACGCTAAGATGACTAGAATGACATTTGATTACACAGTGGAATTTCATTAGGGTTTTCCCAGACTTCATAACCTGCTACAATACCCAAAAACAAAACAAAACAAAAAAAAAAAAAAAACCACCATGCTGAATTTTCCCTTCTCATCAACTTCTAGATTGACAAAAACTTCTACAAAATATGCTGTCTGGATAACCGTTTCTTTGCTTCATTAGTGTATAAAAAATGTGTTCAATTAGTTTTACTTTCTGGTATGATTAATGAAAACCCATCTTAAGAATAAATACTGAAAACATATGAAGAACTGTTTCTAGTTTCTGTTGTGTTGATAGTTGGCAACCAAGTGTTAAATATTTATTTAGGTAGCTTAAAATGTTTAGTTTGAAGAAATCTATTATCCATTCCTCCTTAGTTCAAAGACACAGAAAAAGTAAAGTTGTCTTCCCTAGTTCATGGATCTTGTTGCCAGTTTCCTCTAAGCACTTTAAACATGGTTAGGGTGCTGAGAATCAGATACTTTAAATATTACAATATTTAGACACCTGAACACTGAGATTCTGAAAATTACTAGCAGCCTAGCTAAACTCATTCGTTTTTTGCCATCTGGTATACAAATCCTTCATAAGCAGCTCTCTCACACATAATAAAGTAATAAATGCCATTGAACAATGTATCCTCCTTGTCCGAATTATTTTTCTGAACTTTTGTGTTCTAATATGACAAAGCTTCATTCATGTGTGCATTCAGCCCTTTGCACACAATTCAGCTAGAGCAGGAGGAAGGATCCAGTTTAATGCAAAACATGTCCAAAACATTGGGGTGGTGCAAGGTAGGACATCCTTTTAAGAAACTGAATTTTTCTTTGTTACAAACTGCTTATATAAACATGGGAAAGCACAACAGATGGGATGAGCTAATTTTCTGCATGAATCCTTTAAGTTGCATTAATTCCATTTAAGGTGAAAGAAAACTGGGCATCACCAAAAGCATATTTCATTTTACCTCATTACTGAATTTGAAAGACAAGTAATGTGATTTACAAGGCCATTGTGACATTTACCAAAACAGCAGAAGAATTTTGTTTGTCACAGAAATGGCAAAAGCTGAAATGCAAGCTATGTATGATACACCTCGGCATGACAGGTGGGGGAGGTGAGTGAAAGAGCCCAATTAATAAGGCTTTAGTTCAGAATGCATGGGTCCCATCTATGCCTTCCAATCACAAATGCTGCTCTTGAAGTAATTGGGATGAATTCTTTGCCTGAACTTGCTCTTTGCCTCATGAAACTGATTCTAGTGATTATTTGCAAACTGTCCTTCATTCTGTACTGGTGCCTTCTGGTTTGCTAGTTCTTAATGCATTAGGAGTAAACTCTTTTAATGAATTATGCGTTTTTTGATTGTTTTACAAAAATGTTTGAAATGATCAGAGGGACTTTTAAGGTGCGCTTTACTTCTTCCTTTGATAATTTTTCAATTTTGTATTCCATGATTTATGGTGTGCGCAAGTGGTGTGCCTTTGAAAAACCAGAGGGTTGGGGCCATTAAAATTATGCCCACATCAATGATTTGAGGGCTGACACCTTGCAGCAAAATCACATACATGTCTAAGCATAAGTTAGTCACACTGGGAGTTCAATGATCATTTCTCCCAGGTAAGTGGGCATAAGATCACTGTCCTAATTAACTCTCCATCAAGAACAACGGGTGTTGAACGCAATAAGCATTTGTGGTGAATCACAGAATAAAGTCAGTGCAAAAGATCCCAGACATGTCTCTCTGCACCCACCCCACTATAACTGCCTCTTGTTCGATTTTAACTTTGGAGGCTACTAGACAGCTCTGCAAAGTCAGGCTGGGAGTCACACCTTGGATGAAGACACGAGCTTGTATTTGAGCAAGGCAGCTCATCCTGTTCCAATAACCCATGCCATACTATTCTGAGGATGCATCAACCCACAGCAGCAAATTTTGGGGTGATGCAGGGAAGCCTTTACTGGCTATTTCTTTGGGAGAAAGATCCAGTAAAGCCCAAGTGCATAAGCTGAGCTCCATTTACCCATATCTAGATCAATCTCACTAAATTGCAAAGATCATCCAGGGAACTTCATAGATGAATTAATACTCTGATATCCTAGAACAGCAACCTGCTACAACCTAACTGTGACACAGATGTCCTCCATGCACTCAAGGTGATCCCTGCTGGGCCAACATGTCAAAAGGGATATAGGGATAAAGAAAATGCAAGCATTTCAAGGTAACAAATAGTATCCAATGCTCGTTCTGGGTAGAGTAGATCCAGTGTAACAGGGCATGTTAGAACTAACTTAAGTCTCATTCATTTTAGTGATTCTACTCTGCATGGGATTTACACTGGATACTGTGTTTTCTTTTAAATGTCTTCACAAGAACTTAATTGTCTTCTTTAAAAATCTTCCCAATATCTTCAGTTTCCAGTTTCAAATCTCCTGATTTATCACAATGTACTTTTGGAATTACAAGAGTATTCATGGCTCTGTTGACCAAAGCAAAGTCTTCTGGCTCTGATATTTTAGAGCTTCCTGATGTTTCATGCATACGTCATCTTCCCAAGGTAATTAGCTGGAACATATCCTTTCTGCCCCTTTGCTTCAGCCAGCCACCATTCCTTGTTGCCACTCAAATCAGAAAAACGAAGGATCCGAACTCGCTGATATTCTTGAAGACTGAGTTCCTGCTGACTCCTTGCTTGAAATGCATGAACTGCATAGAATGTCTGGGGAAAGGAAACAGCAGAAAATGCTTTTTGAATCCTATCACCTTGCCAGAATGTAGTGTGTGCCCAAGTGGGTGCTTCTTTTCTATTCCAAACAGAATTTTGAAAGAAAAATCAATATCAACACAGAGAAACTGGTCAAGCAATAACAAAGGGTGCAATCCTATGCATCTTTGTACAGAAAAAGTCCCACAACTCCCAGCTGGGAGTTATAACTTCTAGAATATGGTGTTGATGACGCAATGATGTTCCTGCAAAAGCTTTGAGGATCAATGAGAGATCCATCCCCTATAACTACCAGCTGGGAGGTATAAAACATTTTCTCTTTAAACATGCATAGAATTGTGACCTATGACTGTTTATTGATTTTCTGTTTGCCACAACCAGATTAATATTTTACAACAAGAGGCAACCAAATCAGGTATTAGGAAGCAGCTCCATTAAACTCACTTTCAGAGGAATGTTTCAGATCCTACTCAAATGCAAAACAGAATTAAATTCACTGGTAAAACACAATGCAATCCATTGGTTATAAGCTGAATGTCAGCAAAAGAAGTATGCCAATTAATGGTCTTTATTTTTCTGGCCACAATCCACCATCCCACAATATGGCAAGTAACATCCTCTCTTTGATCCTCTAAACTGCATTTCTTCCGTAAAGCTTTTCTAGGAGCAATACTGTCTCACCAAATCTCCTGCAGCATAGAATCAATCTGCCTGTTATGTTCCATTATGGCAAAGCCACCAAGAAATATTTCCACACACTGGCAGCTCCACATAGGACCTCTAGATTTAACAAAGCTGCTTAACACATTGACCGGCTCATTCAGTGTGCCAGTTTCCCAGGAGCTACTTGGCTCTGCTACATTCAGTATAAGTATTCCGTACTTATTTTGGAGTGGGCACATTTGGAAATCTGAAAAATTGTAGGCATCCGCAGAAAATAATTCCCACAGAGAGCATTGCTAGTCACATGATAGCTGCCAAAGGGGCCTGACTAGTTCAAGCTGAACTAAAATGGTGGTGGTGAGGAAAAACATCATGAAGTCAGATGCTGGGAGAGAGGGGGGAACCACAAAGAGAAGACGTTGCATATGGCGGCTGCAAGGATGTTGCAACTCGAGCCCTCTAACCAAAACCAGCCTACCTGGGGGTCATGTCCTACCTGGAGAAGGATTCCTCAGATAAAGAACACCAGGGCAGCAAGGCCCAGCCAAGTCAGATACAGGGGTTGTGGCTGGGGATCACTGCCCTGACTTTCGTCATCTGAGGAATCCTCCTCCAGGTAGGACATGACACTGGGATCCCAATCAGATGACTCCATCCCCTTCCCCCATATACTGATTGTTTGGCTATTTCCCAGGTTTTGCATTGTTTCTTCCCCAGTCTAAACATTTAAATGCCCAGCTGCTAAAGATTAGCTACATGTAGGAAACTAAACTAGCTTTAAGATATTTTGACACCGTCCTTTTTGTCCATGGCGGCAACCTCTACTAGAATCTGGATCCAAGATTTTCTGGGCCTGAAGCCAGGGATGGACTGAATGGGGACTGTCAGGTGTGGGTGGACTGAGGAGCTTAATGCCACTACATTTCTCAAACCATGTTCTTGAAAACAGTTTATATTGTCCTTAGAACATAAAGCTCAGCCAAACAGATGAATTCCCCCTGCTTTTTGGCATCATCGCAGGAACTTTTTAGGCTGCCTCTGGGCCTAAGACCTTCTTTGAAATTGAATTTGTTCCTTTGGCTGAAGGAGGTTGAGCACTCTGGGCTACAGTCTTCCTCTAATCAAAAGCAGATTTGCTGCCTGATTTGGAGGTGAGGGAACAGCTTAACCAGGATATTCTGAACAAGCCTTATCATTAACTCTACTGCCAGTTTGGTTACCCTTTTACTCCCTCCCTCTTTTCATTTCTCTGGGTCCCGCCTGTTCATATGGAGCACACATATCAAATGGAAGCTGATGCTCTTAGTCCTGGTCACTGCATATGTGCTTGGACAAGGGAGGTGATCAAGCTCTGCGGCAAGAAGAAGGGCAAAAGGTCTGAAGGATGGTGACCGGTGCAAGACAGTGGCTGATGCTTGTACAACTCCTTCCCCAGCCTTCCCAGGACAAAAAAATATTCCACATACGTGCTGGTCATCTGTTTCATAAACGCTATCCACTTCTGTCCCATTAATCGATGTTTTTTCACACAGGCTGTTATAGGAAGAGCCGCTGCTACTCCTCTTGTGCCCTGCAGGTTTTGTGCAGCTGTCCTCCAGTTGCCGCGAGGAGACAAAAAGGCTGATGTTATCAAAATCATCATTGCAAAAATTCCCCGTGGCTTCCGCAGCATCCTTTTGTGCCTTTGATGGATTGTAGGGTTTCAGGAAGGAGGAATAAACGTAGCCTTTTGAAACTAGACATGGGGCAGGGAAAAACAAATGAGAAGAATTAAGACTTTTTTTTTTTTTGCTCCACCAGCTCATGATAAAAACTTCTATTTCCTGTAAATTAAAAACCAGACTCCTGCAACTCAAAAGGACAGTCTAAATTGGATAACTTATGAAAATGATATAAACAGAGCAAAACCTGTGTTCCCCCACACTGGGAATTCCTTGTTTCTTCACTAGTAGTAATTCAAGGTTATGTCATGCATGGTAGGTTAAAAGTTGTAGGATTTTTTTCTGACTAAAATTGCATTAAGTCAGTGAGGTCCTCCTAGGGCCACACTTTCATCTTTTCCACGCCAGGTAAAACCTTTTCTCTGTTCTCAAGAAATTGTCAGCATAAGATGCGCTATTCAGTTAAGCATGTTATGAAATCATGATATTTATTGTCAATAGTTTTTAGCTATTTTAATTATTATGTTTTCATTCCTGCTGTAAGACACCTTGAGAATTTTTTCCCTGAGGATGCTGTTTAAGCCTTTTAAATAATCAATGCCATAGGAAAGTCATTCCAGCCTTTTAGAATGGGGAAAATCTGCATGAAACCCAGGAAATCACTACATGATCAGCCAGTAGGACAAATAGGATGAGGCCAACTGAGGAACTCCAGAGGGCTGGATTGGCCCACAGGCCTGAGGAATTACCCCTACAATATACCATTAAAATGTGAACTAGATTTACCATAGAGTCCCTGCCAACAACTCCTCTAAATATATCGGTATCAAGATTCAAGCTGTCTACAATATTTATTTCTCAGGAAGCATGCAGGTGATGTTTACAAGAGCTGAGCAAAGCTGCAAAGGACAGGACATTTTGGAGGGCAACTCATTCATTGAGTTGCCATAACTCAGAGAGGACTTGACAGCTCACAACAACAACAACATGCAGGTGATCCATTGCCCCAAACTCTAAAAACAAGATGAAAAACTAAGGTGCAACCAAAGTACAATTGATGTTACATTGACCGTGTCAAGGACTTACCTCCAGTGTCAACAAGCCATCTGCTGGTACTTCCAAAAGGATCCTTTTGTTCCACGACAGCCACCACTTCTCCTTCATAGAGATCAATATCAAACTCCTGAGTGGCATTGCATTTGCGTTTGGCTTGGTACAGCAAATCCACACTGTAAGTAGCCAGTATCATTGACCTGTGACTTTCTGTTTGCCTTGGAAATTCAGGCTGAAAACCAAACAAAAAGTTCTTGGAGATGGACTTCCAATTGCAACATCACAGCTTATCCCCATCACATGAACTGGCTAGATGTCCTTGCTGGGCAGCTTGTCATGTCATCCAAAACCAGACAGAGTGGCTTGTTTGAGATGGCAGCAAACCTCAAATAAACCATGGAGAACGGTTGGATTATCTAAGCATTACTGCCCTGTCCCCACAAAACAAACCATGATTCCCATACTCAAACAACAATGTACAATATGCTAACAAGTTTAATTAGAGAAATCTGGCCAGCCCATGATCAGTACATACAACACAAAGCCAGGGCTAAACTAGAGATGACATTAAATTAATCTTCATATTTATCACACATCTTTCTTTAAAATGAAAATTAAAATGGCTGAGTTGGAGGCTGATAATTACTGGAATTGCTGCAGGTGTTGGTGGGGAATGTAACCCTTTCCTTCTTTACAGTGATCCTTTCAAAAATAGGTCCTTTGAAGCCAATATTTGCAATGGGAAGAAATTTACCATCAGTGACTTGCACATGCACGGGATGAGTTTAACCACTTGCTTTCCCCTGTGATCCCAATAATTATCACAATCATTACACACATGCCATTTTTAAAACTGTGCATATGAAATGCACAGGTGCATTTAGCATCATATCTAGCTTGGACATTGGTTGCACTGACTAACAGAAATTGCTTGCATGATAATTGCTTTATTCATGCAAGAGGAGTCATGATTTCACATGAATTTCAAACTGTAACTTTACTACTGCTCGTGTAAGTAAAGCACTCAACTGAGCAAGCTCTTTTGCACAGATAGCCCTTGAGTGTATTGTCAGAATGGATTATCCTGCTGCATCACCAAGGTTGAGCGGTACACAAACCAAACTGCTCAGGGACTACTGTACATTGTGGAAGCTCCAATGCACCTGGGATTGCCCCTTTCACTTGGAGACTGAAAGATTAGTCTCCTATAAATAGTCATGTAAAGGAAAATTTTCCACTGCTCCGATCTTAATGCACTTATCCTTCCCAGCATCAATTAACAGAAAGCAGTTTGAAGTCATCCTCCAAAATGACGGGTATATGGAACAACCCACATCACAAGGCCAGACATGAGAAACCAGTAATCTATGGATTATGCTATTTTATATATGAAAAGTTACAGAAATGGGACAAGCAGGGATTCTACACTGCTGTGTCTCTTGAAGGCTGCATTGTGCATCAGACATGTCTAAATCTGAGCATTTTAAAAAATTATGTGCTATCACCGTGAAAGACATTTAAAGGCTTCCTATGTAATTAAAAATGCACTGGAAGATTAGAAAGTGCTGCACAGATGTTTAGTGGAAAAATATACCTGCACTTTGCATATTAGCAATATGAGGGCAAGCTGACAACAATTATACAGTTGGGCTGTGGAGTGAATGACCAAGATGCATTTTGGAGACAAATGTAGGGGGAGTTGCTCATTTTTGGAAGTCTGTAAGCACATAGTCCTATTAGCCTCAAGCCACGATTGGCCTGGGGCTAAGGGCTAGACTAGATGGGATATGGGAGATTTGTGAACAGGATCTCATGCATTTTTCAAAACAGTAATAGCTGGGAAGGGAATGATGGTGTTGGAGACAGAGGGATTAACCACTTCTCCTGGTGCCTCTTTTGGATTAACAATACTTACTTCCCATCCAGCTGATATTTGTCCCAGGGATGAAAACATACAGGTACCTGTGTTACTTTTGCCTTCCCTAGCTCAGCATCGCACTCTGAATAAGGGTCTCTGTGTCATATCCACTTTGATCTTAAGCCTCACTGAACTCTGTGGTGGTTGCTTCTAAGAAAATATGTTTAAGATCAGGCTGTGTGTGATCACATGAGCCTATGATAAGAAGCCTGCTGGGTCAGACCAAATGCTGATTTGGTTCAGGTTTCTCCAGCTTGGCGCCCTCCAGATGCTTTGGACCATACCTTCCAGCATTCTTGGCCTTTGGCCATGTTGACTGGAGCTCAGGAGAACTGAACTGAACTGAACTGAACTGAACTGAAGCACAAATTCTCTAGAAGGCAACAGTTTGGGAAAAGCTTGCTTAGTACAACATTCGGATTCTCACAGTAACCAGCCAGACGCCTCCAGGAACTCTGCAAGCAGGGTACAAAGGGAAATAGCACCCTCGCCCCATTTCATCCAGCAACTGACATCCCAAGGCATAATACTCCTGCAAATGGAGGTTCCACAGAGCTGTGTTGGCTAATAGTCAGCTTAGATAGACCCTCCCATGTCCCCAAATTCAGTAAGTTGCTATTATTTTTAAGTGAAATTATACCTATATAATATTGCATTACGAGGAACTAAGTAAAATCAATGGAACTTATTTTGGAGTAAACTTGTTTAGGATCACAGTAGCTGGGTAGTATCCTGTGTTAGTTCTAATCAGAGTAGATATGTTGAAACAAATGTGTTTAGCTTAGCTGCATGCCCCATTCATTTTAACTAGGACTATCACTGCATAAAAAGGTAAAGGTTCCCCCACACATGCAGGCTAGTTGTGACTGATTCTGGGGCCAGTGCTCATCTCGAAGAGTCCGTGTTGTCTGAAGATGCTTCCGTGGTCATGTGGCTGGCATGACTAAACACCAAAGCATACAAAGTGCTGCTACCTTTCCCACTGAGGTGGTACCTATTTATCTACTCATATTTGCATGCTTTCACGTTGCTAGGTAGGCAAGAGCTGGGACAATGCAGTGGAAGCTTATCCCATCACACAGGTTCAAACTGCTGACCTTCCGATCAACAGCCCAGTGGCTCAGCGGTTTAACCCTGTGAGCCACCCATGTCCAATCATTGCACACTAACCCGTAATTCACTGCAAACAAGAAGCCCTGGAATAGTTTGACTGTCCAGAAGAGCTTTTCTAAGGAACAACTCCCTTCACTCTGTCAGCTATACAAAATGAAATCCCTAATTCCTAACCACTATAGAAGGTCCACTAATTTCAAGGACTCAGTTCCATTGGACGGTCTGAGGATAAGACCCCAAATTTTACAAAACAGGATTTTTTTTCTTTTCCAAACAACTGACTGTCAATTTCACATCTATGGCATATTTATCCATATGCCAAAGGCCTAAATATAGTGCCTAAATATAGAAACAACACAGAGAACGTTAAGGCAGTTCCGCTTATCATGCACAGTAGGATTGCAGTCTTAAAGTGCATGGCTAAATTGAGTTGGAGCGCATGGGAAGAGAAAGCTGTCTAGATTTCTCTGGACCGAATTTATAGGTTGGTAACCTGTAGCTAGTTAACAGCAAAAATGACATTTCCAAATATTGACTTTTAACTGTCAAAGGTATTTTACAAACCTGGGGAGGGGCGGGTTTCTTTTTTTCAAAACTCAGCTTTCTCTCGATAAAATTGATGCTGTTGTTTTCTTTGACAAAATTCAGATTCTGTACCTCTTCAAGGACTTGGCACTGAACTTCACAGATACTTGGAGGAGACAGCTGTGAAGACATCAGAGTCCAAGATTAAATTTTTAGTTACAAACCAATGTGTGTGACTGTTTTCCTCTCCTTTGCAAAGGTCATAGCACTGAGATGAGGTTTCCCTTGCCAGCCCGCCTAGGTGTGTGTGCAGGGAGATCAGAGCTGAGTTTGAACATTGTTCAATTGCATATATTAATTTATTTAAACATACACATATTAAAATGACTTATTACCTAGCAACAAATGTTGAATCAAAGATCTGAAGGAAAAACATCCATCTAGGTAGGCAGGAAGCTGAGTCAGTTTAAAATGAATGCCACTAGAGAGCACTGTCCACACGTTGGCAGAGCTTTACGACAAGAAAGAACGAACATGCTAAGAGCTGTGCCATTGTCAGGGACAGCATGGCAGTGGAAACCTTCCAATCACACTATAATTTAAGAATACAGGCAGCCCAGTTCTGCCTGTGTGTGAAAGTTTATTGGGGCTCACTCCCAAGAAACAGTTAAAAAAAATCAACCTCTTAATATAGGATTAACCCTAGACAGAGATAGCCTAGCTATGGTGATTTATGCTCTGGTCTTGAAGACTTCTTCAAAACATTAATAGATCAAAATACCGCTACTAGATAGTTGCCTGAAACTGACTGAATGTAAAACCTCTTGCCAGTTCCAAAGCAGTTTCAATGAGTGCTGATCCATTTCCAGACATCATTTAAAACATTATTGCTTAACTTTAAAACGCAATATGGCTTGAGGCTCAAGTTGGTTGGAAGACTAACGTGTTAACAGAGAATCAGTGACCAAGAGAATCAGTGACTAAGTCACCAGACTGAGTCTCAGGAGATTCAGGTTCTAATCTCCACTTGGCTTTGAAGGTCACTACATGATCTTGGTCTGGTCACTGACTTGAAGCCTAAGCTTCCTCACAAGGTTGTTGTGAGGATGAAACAGAGATAAAGAAGTTCATGTGAGCTGCCTTGGGCTCCTTTCAAGAGGAAAAAAGACGAGTTATAAAACTAATAAATAATAAATGATTGACCAGCAATACTGAAATCTTAGGGCAAGGACATTGCCAGAGAGTTCCATGGATCCACAAAGCAAGTGATGTTCTATAAAATATTGTGGAATTTCATCCATATCATGGTGACCTGCCAGATGGGACTGTATGGTCTCCAGTCATTTCCCTATAATGGAAAAGAGGGAGCCTAAGCTTGCCTGGGACTGGCAGGGACTCTCCAGGGACTAGCAGTTCTCCAACTCATTTTAACAAGAAGCAGGATGTCAGGTTACTGAAGCAAAGATTATGTTGAATTTACTGGTGGTCATTCTTATTGGTTGATGTCTTTTAAAACATTCATGGGTTTGCCTGTGATAGTGCCTAAGAGCTTTAATCATCAAGGATTCAGCATGAAAGTACCTTCAGGCTACTCACAGGTAGGAGGGATTCTCCACTAGGAAAGGACCTCAGTGCTGATGCCATCATATCCCTCAAGAGAGTGATGAAGCAGCACAGGCAATTGGTTATTATCTTCTTTGCTGCCCTGTTGAACCTCTGGAGCTCCTCCACAAGCTGTGCGTTCAGAGCCTCGTATTCTCTTTTGGCCAGATCCATCTCATCACCCGTGGTCTTTTGGTGGTAGCTGTTGTAGTCCAGCAGTTTGTCATACCGTTTCTGAATAAGCTTCTGAGGGCCTATGAACAGGGCCTGTAATGCTGACAGTGGGGTCAGGGCCATCTTGTCTACCTGCTTTGCCTAGATGTGTACAAGGGGAAGGTAGAGGGAAAGCCAGAACAAGGAATAATTTGCACGTTTGCATGTTTTCATTGAAACTGGTATTACCTGTACCATGATTACGTGTGTGGGAAGCTAAGAATGGATCACAGAATGTAGCTCAGATCCAATGCAGGAACTGCCCACGGTACACCTGACTGGAGTCAAATAAAGTTTTAAAAGGGTTGCAGAAAAGCTGCTTGGTAATTCTTGGTCCTCTGGCTCTGACGCTCCACCTTACTCCAAGGAGAACTGTGATTCAGATAGGTCACTGGATACCCTACTCCAAGGAGTGCCTTCAATACAGCCTTTGATACTTGCCTGGCCAGAGAATTTGGATTTCCCTTCATCTGACTCTAAGAATGACACCACTGCAACTTCTCCTGTCCCTAGCAGACACTAGCTCTTTAAGATCTACAATCAGCAAGGATGGAGCCACTGAAAGTTCAGGCCCTGCCAACTATCGTAAGACCTCAATTGACTACAATCCTTTGCTAGGACAACAGCTCTTCCTGGGAGGTTACTCCAGTTCCTGGCAGTTCCTGTGCTGATGCAACTTCTGCTTTGCTTAGTATGACCTGGAAGAGACAGAGCCCAGGTCTTCCTATGTACTTTAAGCCACCCTTGCTGGGTTCACACAGAACAACATCCTGTGCCTGGCAGGATGGGTTTTTAACCACCCACACATGTGTAAACTGGTCCAAAGAGTGCCATTGAACAGTCTGCTTCACTTGGGCCTTATTGCCTAGCTAGGATAAGTCATTTCTGGAAATGTACATTAAAGAGATTTAACTTGGGGAAATTCTGCATCTGACATTGTGTGCAGCTAAAACATTATTGGTGACCATTCAAGTTTTCCAACCAAGTTTTTTGAAAATATGGTGAGATCTGCAAGGATGCCACATTTTTATCCTGTTCTTCTCCCAGAAAATCACGGAATGGTATACACCTTCCTTCTCATGATCTTACTTCAATCTTGTGGGATAGTATAGGCTGAAAAACTTGACTGGTCCAAGGCTGCCATCAAGCTTGATGGCCAGGGAGAAAGATTAACTAAAGTCTTCCTAGTTCTAAATCCAGCACTCTACATATTCTACCACTCTGGCTCTCAGTCATAGTCTTCCAGAACTACTGCTTTCTTCCTTCTGGTATGGAGCATAGGATTTTTGATATGCAGTACAATCAGGACTCTGAGTAATTGGGCTAAAAAAGCCAATTATTTTCCCCAGGCTAAATTTGTTGCAGAACTTTAGCAATGCATAATGAACCTTAGCATCTTCAAACTCTCCTTTGAAATCTGTCTTTATTTAAAGAACTTACAAATCCTTCATTGGGATTTTCAGCACTGAGCAACATGTTTGAAGAGCCAGTTTCCTCATCTTCTCTCTCATGTAGAAGACCTTGAAGTTCAGCTGTGCTTTTTGCAGCCAGAAGCACAGAATCCTGAAAAGTACGAAATAGGCAAGACAATAATGTTAAGCACACATCTGTTTCCTTCCCTAAACCCCCAAAAGGTCTGCCATTTGTGCAATAGTACTTAGAGAAACATATAAGGGGTTTGACTAGAACAAGCTGCTAAATCGTTTCCTTTCTCATACAGTGCTCTGTGTGCTTGTGCTTCATTTTTGTTCTGTGCCATCAGGTCAGCTCTGACTTATGGCAACCCTAGGAATGAAAGCCTCCAAAAGGCCCTATCCGTGACTCCCCTGCTTAGGTATTCTAAATCTGAGGCTGTGGTTTCCTTTATGGAGTCAATGTACTGGGCAATGTACTGGGCAATAGCCTATCTGGTCTATTATGTGAACAGAAGCCCTATTCGTATAAGGGAGATGTCTGGGACTTGTGCTGAAATATTGCCTTTCTTGGCTAGCCCCGTCCCAAGTTCTGCATGTTCCATGCATGGCCCCTGATTTGTGAGCAGCTGTTCTCACGACAACTTTTCTTTTCAAAAGGTGAATGGGAGAGTCAGCCCGGAGCTGGGTAGCCCCCAAAATTGGGCTAGAATGAAGTGAACTGGGCTGTACCCTTTCAGATTCCAAATAGGGCAGGGGTTTCAACCACTTTGGGCCCATGGTACATATCTGGTAGTTTGCAAAACTGTCCTGAATGGCCCACAAAATGGCTGCCATGGGAGGTGTGGCTAATGCCAAAGGACAAGTAGTCCGTTCCAAAGTGGGGTCTGAGCCCCAGCATACTAAACAAACCCACTTTGCTGTGCTCTCCAGCCCTTCATTTTCAAATCTGCTCCCAGAAACAAGCTCCTTGCCAGGTAGAAAATGATCCAGCCGGGGATGAAACATTGCTCAGAACTCTTTCAGTGATGTGCTAACTTGCTGATTTAGACATAGAGGTATAGATCTAGGTATTTACTCTAGATCAGCGGTTCTCAACCTTTCCTTCACCACAGACCCCCTTTAAATACCTTTTGTGGCCACAGACCACCAAGACTTTACTTAATTCAAGATTTAAAGCACTAGAATGCATCAAATATTTATTTTGATTTTCTCATGAAGGGCCTTCAAATTTGGAGAGAAGGGGAAATAAGTTGATCTGTTAATGCACACACTCCTGTTATAATATCTTTATTGCAATGATTCCATATGAATTTCAAACAATAGTATCAACACTTCTCACTCAAATGGCCTGTTTTATGGTATTTGACATGCTAATTCCAAATTTGATGTCAATTTTTTCATAAAAATTTGATGAAAGGTTTTTACAATTCTTCTCATCTCCTCCCTTGTTCTCAGCATGTGCAGAAATGCCAAAAACAGCTGCCTGCCATCAGACAGCTACTCTCGTGGCCGATTTGTACCTCTGATTCCTTTTAATTGAGGCAGTAGGTTAAAAAAGCTAAATTTTACAAAATAGGCATGTGAAATTAAGATTTTATTCTATTTCCCATTCCCTCTTGCTTTCATTCACTCACCTACTCATTCATTCATATTTAACTGCAAAAAACCATAACATTTCTTCAAGCTTTCGTGGACCCGCAATGATGACATCGTGGTCCCCCAGGGATCTGAGGATCACATTGAGAACCACTGCCCTAGATCATGTTCTCCTTCCTTCCTTCCTTCCTTCCTTCCTTCCTTCCTTCCTTCCTTCCTTCTAAGAAATACTTCCTGATAAAGCATTTCAGTGGCTCAGCTTGTCTTATGCGCTCATGCCCCTCTGCATCAATGGCCTGGTGCAAATCCTCCTTCACATTCTACACCAGGCCATAGATGAAGAAAGCCTTACAAAGACCTGCCGGCCTGCGGCCACACTAACCAGACTTGATCTTATGCTGACATTATGCTCACCTCCAGATGCTGTAAAGACAACGAAATATTCTTCACACATAGTTTGACTGCCTTTTCTAAACTTCTGAATAATTTCTCCTCCTTATTAAAAGTTCCATCTTTCACCTAAAATACAAGGTAACATTAGAGGTAGGTTAAGAAAACACTCTTGGTGATGGATGAAGCAGTCTTAATGCTAGTAGATACAGTGAATAAAGCAACATTGGCGAAGCAGCGCATCCATTCCAAGCTCGACTCTGTACATTAAAGGAGCTATCCATGGTGCCAATGGGGGCGGGGGGGAGTAGGTTTTAGAACCATGGATAACTCCTTAAAGTTCAGGTTAAATCTTGGTGTGGGCACTGCCCCACTAGCATTGGAGCCCCGAAACTCCACTGGAATAAAGTACGTCTTTATTCCTTCCATTAAAATTACAAAAGTATCTTCACGATACAGTGAGCAACCTGTGCAAGTTGCAGGCTTGTGTGCCCAACCCTTTCCCTCCCCTCCTCCCCTCCCCTCCCCTGGCACAACAGCAAGCAGGAGATCATAAGCTTTTGTTTTTGTTTGTAACTAATTGAAGCTTCTTCTTTCATCCAGAGCTTAGGTCATTAGTCCTAAGTGTGGTTTATTGCACAGCCTACTTTCCCCCACACACAGCTCATCAGCCAACCTTAGCAACAGGAAAATGCCACATTATTTATCTGCAACATTTATATATTGCTAAGTGTGATGCAATCCCTAAGCAGTATAGCAGTCTTGATCAGGATTGTTAAGATGGAAGAGGGGAAGGGGCTTCCATGTCACCCCCCCCCCCCATTGCCGCAAGACTGATCCCTGCTGAAAGCCATAGGAAACAGCAGTTCTGATCGGGATTGCTGGGAAAGAGGCTTTACCTTGCCCTCCTGTCATCTTTTCCCTGCAAACTCATGGTGGTTGTTTCCCAGTACTACTAACTGCAGGGTAACAGTGATCTTGCCTGCAGGGATAACCATGGGGGAAGCTTTAACCTCATCCCTTAATGATCTGTGCATGCAGCGCACAGGAAGAAAGCAATGTGGAACCCTGAGATGAGGCTATGATGCACCCAAGGTTCTCTTTTGCTAAAAATTAACTGCTGAATTTAAGATGAAGTTTATATTTGTGCCAATGGAGCACAGAGAGATAGACAGATGCTCTTCTGTTCTCATAAGTCTGATCTTCTATTCTCATAGGTCTGCCTTATATCTACTGATTGTACTTACAGCTCAATGTACAGCAAAGTCATCACTTTTCCATCAGGCTTTCCCTGATGCTGCTTTTAAAAACTGCTTCACTGATATTGCTGCATCTACACTGATCACTCTTTCTACTGCTGTCTCAGCTTAACACTTATTGGAGGGTGTTCTGCTTCTGTAATGCATTATGCTTCTATCCTGTTGTTAGCCAACTTGAGAGCCAGTGGAGTGGAGTGGTTAAGAGTACAGGACCAGGACTCAGATCTGGGTTCTAGTCCCCACTCAGTCATGGAGCTCACTGAGTGACTTTGGGCCCGTCACAGACTCTTAACCCAGCCTACCTCACAGGGTCGATAGAATTATGTAGGCAGCCTTGCGTTCCTTGAGAGGAAAAAGGGCTGGCTAAAAGTATAATAATTAAACTTCAATAGTTAATATAGAATGGATCTCAAATGGACATACATACAAGACTGTGATAACAGCGGAGGTGTAAAGGAGGGATGGCACACAAGGATGGAGCAATGCAAAGGGGCAGGACATACTCCTGAGCAGTCATGCAAAGGCATGATCCTCTTCCATGAAAAAGCACCAAGTGGAAGGCAAGCAGCGGTAGATCACCAAACATCACATGGATTGTTGGCCTTTTCTGCAGCAGAACGGATGTTGCACACCCTCACTCTGTCTGCTGTTTTAGATACATGATGGAATGCTAACAAAGGCAACTCTTAGAAGCATTAACAGACCATGACCCTGTAAAAGGATGAATTGAAATTACTTTGCCTGATACAGGAGATGGCGACATGTTTGAAAGTACAAGGTTTATGTTTCTACACTCACATATGCTTTTGTATTTATTATTGTTTGAATATATTTGAATAAAATATGTTCAAGCAATGCACCATTTTATATCATGTTTGTCCCTCTACTCATTGCTATGCATCTGCAGAGGTAATACAATGCTAAGTTTGAGAGACTTCTGTTATTACAGTGGCTGACCCATAGTTGATCTGATCTGCAAAAAGGGATTGGTATTTTTCTTTGTTCCAGTTTTCTTTCTGTGTGTAGAAGAGAGGAGTGGAGGGGGAAACAACCTTGGATACGTCTTATCTGGTTTCCTCATCTAATGCTGAAGGAGTCACTGCATATGTCAGACTTTGGAAATGTAAGCACCGAGAACCTCTAATTAAAGGTAGAAAGACTGCTCAGGCATTCACAAAAGCATCATCCTTCTTCCCACCCCTACCCAAAAAACACAATAATTATTTCAGTTTGAACGTGTTTACAAAAAGGAACACCAAAACATAAAGTTCTTCTTGTCTGAATAAAAATAAATATCCTTCACAAGAAAAACCTTTCATGGTAGCCAGCAGCAGAATTCTGCACACGTTGCTCCTAGGATCAGGCTTTTATTTTTAATGCTTTTTTTAAAATTGCAGGTTGTTCAGAAGGCAAGGAAAGAAACACATGGTTCATTCAAAAAAGTCCTAATTCTGGGGAACTGAGATGCTTGCATCAGCATGTCAGGGCTGCTTTAAACACAAAAGCCACCATCAATCTGCACCATCAGCTAGTAAGGACTGGCATGGATGCACAGCTGTGCACCCCTGTAGTAAATCTAGTACATCAATGGGGAATTAAGCGGGCAGAAGATTTACTGATGTAGCGAAGTGCAGTACTGATGGACGGGTCACATACTCTCAGCCCAGCCTACCTCACAGGGTTCTTGTGAAGATAAAATGGAACTATTTAAGTTGCCTTGAGTTCCTTGAGAGGAAAAATGGCTGGGTATCAATGCAATGTAATACCTGTAATATTGTAGTGATCTCCCCTGATGTCCAAATTTAGCACCATCACTTGTTACAAGCTCAACTGTGAGCAGAAGCCAGACCCTGCCTGTCCAATGGAAGGGTCCCACAAGCCAACAGAAATACAGGACTTCTTTTTGCTGAGTTGCTAATCTCATCTATATCAACATTAAAATCAGTTTGCCTTGTAGGGAAACCTCATGTCTGCTCCTGACCGGCATGCTGATAATTCAGAAGTCAGCACAGTGAATGGCAAACTGTGTCTTCTGCCGCAACTAGAACTTGGACCAACACTGAGCATTGGCTTTGGTGAAAGCTACAGATCAGTGCCATGTGGCTTATGATAAAGGACTTGGCAACAAAGAGTGGGATTTCAAGGACCCTTTTGCATTCGGCAGACTTGAGCACCAGGCTGACAGTGGGCTGAACTGGATTTTGTATTTTGCAGCTTCCTTTCAGAGCAGTGCACAAACATACACATGCACACATTTTTAAAGAAGTGGAAAATCTGCTCAAAATATGGCCACAATTTGTGCAAATTGTGGGTACCAGGGCTCAGCAGAGGGGCCAGAATCTTGGGGTCCTGCCAGACTTTGACTCCCCAAGTGGATTCCTCATGCATCCCACTTGTAGGGTTTCCAGAAGGATTCCTTCTTGGCCCTACCTGGAAAAGCCCGGAATTGAAGCTGGGACTTTCTGAATTCAATGCTGGTGCTTAACCACTGAGCTATAGCTCCTCCTCTGTACATGATCTTGATGCCAGACCACATTACTGGCAACAGAGTGCTTCCAACAAGCACATGCACATTTAGGGCTTCTTCCTAGGTAGATGCTTTTTAAGGTAAACAACAGTAACACATGATTTATTAGGCACTGTAAATTTGAGTGTTACAGGCTTTACAAGTTTCTTAAATGTTTCTTAAATTTTACTGATTCTGTGAAAAAAGGAAAGGGGCAGGATAAATCCCCTGCTGAACCAAGCAAGCATCAATTGCAAATGTTATGGGTCCAGCTGCCAGAGAAAGACAGAATAGGGTTCTACCTTCTTGATAAACTCCAGAATGCCTTCTCTTGATACTGAGGCCTGACCTCTCCCTACACAGGGAAACCTGGTTTCTCTCTTTGCCATTTAGCCAAACTCTACAGTTATACTTTAAGCCTGTAATGAGCTAGTAATGTAAAAACTCTTCCTTCAGAGTTTACACCTTCTTGTTGCACCTTCTTAGTGACCAGCTCACTAAGTACAAACTTCTCTAAAGGAAGATGTGTGAAATAGGCCTTCCTGGTCTTCCCCAGGTTTCTTAACTTTATTCTGTTTTCTTCTCTAATATCACCATACTCATGGCTACAAAACGAGTCACAGTGGTTTTTCACCATTGTTCAACTGCTGTGTTATCTGAACCTAGTCGTTATATTTCAGCATGGTGAATTTTCTCTTTGGAAACATGGTTTATTCTATTGTTTCTTTGTACCACCATGACTTGTTGTTGAATCCAAGTCCATGGTTTCCATGGTCATAGTATTTAACTACCACAGAGTCCTCTGGAAAAAGTGGCAACTTCAGGAACTGCTCCAGTCATCCAGCCTCTATGCATAGACCAATGAGAAACAGGCAGACAACCTAGGCAAGGAGCAATGCACCTTGGGACTGAATTTCAGGGCAATGGCTGATGAAATATATGCCATACAATGGAAGGACTGAGCAGAGAGAATGGAAGCTACAATATAGACATCATCTTTGGAAGCCTCAATTTAGACAATACAGGTAGACAATGTCAGGTAGATCATGGTAACCACCCCCCGCAACCCATGGTAACCACTCAGAGTTGTTTGTTGTGTGAACACAGCTGATCTGTTTACTATGTAAGTGATCTTTACATTTATTGGCAATGCAGTTCCACTTCCTTTCCTTAGACCCCCTGCAAGGGGAAGAAATTTAAAGAAAAATATTTCAGCTTCCTCCACCTGCATAAGGTTGTCCCTACCTATAGTAGGGCCCTGTAAAATACTCTAATGTAAATACAAACTTCAGGATCACCTGTATGCTGTACATTCAGTCCAGCATGTAATTAACTTATATGTCACAGATCTACCACTGCCATATTTCCCAAGATCCAGATTCCTCTAACATTAGCTTTTTGAAGTAATTGTGCAAAAGAACTGTCTCTATCCATAGCCACTCCATCTAGCTGCATCAAAGGGAGAAGTTACATGGTTTGAACCCTCCTGTAGCCTGGCTGGATCAGCTGCATATTGTCTGCCCACCCAGAACTGCCCTCATCAACAGCCATGGCATCTAGCTTCAGCAGAGCAAAAGGCAAGATCTCAAGAACTCTCTGTCTGCTTGGCTGGGACCAGCTGTCAGATGGCTCCTCCTCTTCTCAAACATTCTTCTGCAGACATCTTCCCACCTATTATATAACACTGATCCAACGCTATGCATGATCCAGCGTGCTGGCCCCACCTCTGCCAGCCAAGAACATCAGTCTTACGAGTGGAAGGCCGGACTGAACAGCTGAGTTGCAGATTTTGTCTTGCAATCAATCCCACAATTGCGGCCTAAGTGTGTACAATTTTATGCACTTGGACTATAATTAGATTTGCTATCTGAATGTGGATGTGTGGCATGAGTGTGGCAGCCTCTGGGTATTTTCAGATAACATACAGAACAGCTCTTCATTTTCTGATAGTATTAAAGAACTGGTGTCCTGAGTTTGCTTATTATTCTCTTTCCTTCTTGTTCCTCTTTCCACTTTTATCGAATCTCTTAGATTGTAAGTCATTATCATAAAATGTAAACTGCTTCTACCTGCTTCAGCAGAAAGGCAGCGAGCAACTGAGCAGACACGCAGGCCAATAAATAAAGACTCCACGTTGGCAAATTGGATTCATTCGGTTATTTCTGAGCATGGCAATCTGAACACATCGTATTCTGGTGGTTTAGCTTTTTCAAAATCCTCTGCAGAGAAAAATAGTGGACACCTCAGTACCTGTGGTTCTCCACCAGTTAGAATTTTCAAGTGGCTGGTGACTCGCTTGGATTTCTTGCTAATCGAGTGAATATTGAGTCTTGAAAACTTCTCTTTCAAAGATTCATCTTCATCATTCTTCTTATACTTCAGCACTGCAATTAGACAAATTGCACACCAATCATAACAACACTTTGCATTTGCATGGCACCAATCCAGCCCCATTTTTCCTTCAAAGCCACAAGAGACTGAGGTTACTGCTTGCTGTACTTATGAAAATAGCAGAGATGATGAAATCCTTTTGGCCATATAAGCTTTTAAAAATCCTTCTCTCTAATTGCTCCTGTTGTTTGCAGTAGCACCATTGATGCTATTTATTGCAGGATGTATAATCCTGTGTGCTATAATAATTGTCAGGCCTTTGCAAGTTAAGCCCCTAGTGAGCCTGCCAGGGAGAAGCTCAAACAGAACAAGAAAAGCACCTAACTACCGTATTTTTCGCTCTATAAGACGCACTTTTTCCCCCCTCAAAAGTAAGGGGAAATGGGTGTGCGTCTTATAGAGCAAATGTGTGTGTGTCCGATGCCCGGGATGCTGCCGGCCCGCCTGCACCACGTGGCACCACCTGGCCAGCACACGCTCGGCGCGAGCTGCTCCGCCTACCCCCCCTCCCACCCCGGCGCAGGTGAGAGCTGTGCTGCTCAGGGGGAGAGGTGCAGAGAAGGAGGAGTCGCAGGCTTTAACCCGCCGGCCGCACGGAGAGACGGATTGCTCACCCCCACCGCCTGGTAAGACCTGCTGTGGAGGAGGAGGAGCTGCGGGCTTTAACCCGCCAGCCGCATGGAGAGACGGACTGCTCACCCCCACCACCCGGGAAGACCTGCCGCCACCAACGCCGCGCCACCCGGAAGACCACCGCCGGCACGCTGCCGGCCCGGCTGCACCACGTGGCACCACCTGGCCGGCACGCGCTTGGCACGCCCTGCTCCGCCCCCCCTCCGGCACAGGTGAGAGCTGTTAATCACAGGTCGGTGTGTGTTTTCAAATGGCAACCCGTATTTTAATGAAGCCCATGGGGAAGTGATGGGGAATGTGCCTGTGATTATCAGGAAGCTTTCCATGGATCCCTCCTCTAAAAACTAGGTGCGTCTTATGGTCAGGTGCGTCTTATAGAGCGAAAAATATGGTATATTATACACCTTAAGCAAATGCAAGCCCAAAACAGGAGACCAGAAGCAAACTTAATATTTCAGTCCTTTTTTCACTAGATAAGAGTGGGATGCAAAGCAAACACAATGTTTGGTTCTGGGATTTAATTATTTCTTATCTACAAATAAGCTGATGAAAATTCCTGGGGTGCTTATGAAGAGTAATGGTTGTTATCCATAATAACCAAGAGGAAACTCCATATACAGAGGCAGAATACCCCTGAAGACCAGGGGCAGAGAAGAAACAGCAGAAGATAGCCATTGTCTTCATGAACTTATGAGCTTCTTGAGGGAACATCAAACTGGACAGATTTAGTTTGATCCTGCAAGGCATGCTAAAATGTGAGGCTTCCTTTACTGGCATAGCCAAAGGCCCTCTGGTCAATATGACAAACGACTGTCCGTTGTAATGGGAATGAGCCTAGCCCAGGGCCTCCACTGAAGTGCTCGTGGCTGCCATAGCACTGTAGCTGTCGAGATCTGAAGCCTTGACACAATCCCCTCTGCTGATGTGACGGTGACAAGCAGCTTGGTTCACCCTCCAAGTGCCTGCAGGACCAAGTGCAAACCTGCAAGTATTTGCAAGGACTGAAGTCTGTGTAAGCATGCAGCACCTGGGAGCACTTGGAGGCTTTGTAAAAGGTTTCCCTGGCTTTGTGGTGGCTGCTTTGCATTCCTCATCCCACTCCCAGACTTGCTCTGAGTGTGGCTTATCTTTCACCAGCTCCTGCTTCTCCTCCTGCCTTCAGCCTGACCTATGCCAGGTACCTGTTCCTTGTTCTCTGGTGCCTTGCTGGCAACTGACCTCACCCTGCTTCTAGACCATGCATTCTCTTCTGTCCTCACCTGACTTGGACCTTGCCTTGGTTTCTGGTTCTGCCACGTATTATGTATGCCACGTTCATGTCCTCTGAACCTGACAAACTGTGGTCAGTCATACCTATGGTCTGTTTGAAGCAAACCAGGTTCAAACCATGGGTTATAAAGCTGGGCTTGTTTTGAGCAGGACACAGTTAAAATTAGCCACAGTTTAGGGTTCATCTGCCACACCAAACTGCAGTTCATTGAAAGTGGAAATTCCCAATCTCCTCAAGGTTGTGCTAGAGGAGAGGTAAAGGAGGAAGCATGCCAGGCTCAGAGGAAAAGAGCTTTATCCCTGTCATAATGAACCTTGGTTATTGCAGTGTCTGAATGCAGTCCATATGTATAAATACCTTAATTCTGTGTCCAATTAATTATAGATAACCTGAACATGCAAATCCCTAATGCAAATAACTCCTACTTGAATATACTTATGATAACACAGTATAACCATCTGCCTGCTATATCCTCAACCTGATCTGAAGAAGTTGGGTAAACTTTTTCACAATAAGTTGGTCAAAACAAGTTTCCTTGCACAGAAAAGAGTCTCTGGATACCTCTAGATATTACTCACAGGAGCAGCTGATTCAAAGAAAATGGCTACATAGGACAATCTGTTACAGTTTTGAAAATGTTCTTCAGACACCAGTCTTGCAGTCTGCTGAGTTTTGGTTGTCTTCAGCGACCAACCCGATACCATGTTTACCTTTCCTTCAAGAGGGTTTTTTCTGTATGATTTTTTAAAACATTAATGTGGTTGTTCCAGTATTGAGTAAAGACCCCCAACCAAACAGTCCAACTCTGTGGCGTGCTTACATGTGAGACCCTTAAAAGAGTTCATTTTAAAACCTCTCAAACCTGTATTGTGGTAGCTGAGGCCTAGGATAAAATTTTAATGGCACAGAGGTGGAATATCCAGCTATCTTTTCGTTTTTGTTTCAAGGCTGCAGCATTACTACAGAGTGACTGAAATGAATGTTTTGAGTTCCCATTTTGAAGTAGGGTTGAAATCAGGCCATACGACTCAGACAAGAACCACTCCATGCGCACAGGGTTTTTAGGTTATCCAGCACTACTGCGAGAACGATTCCTGCCACAACTTGCAACTATGACAGTGTGGAGTAAGGGAGTGGAAGGAACAATCCTGCCGGTCCTTGAGAGTATATGGGTGGCCCATAGGATGGTTTGGATTTCCAGATCTGAGAACAGGTGGGCAAGCTCCTGCTTCCTTGCTGCCTTCTGCTGGCACAGAAGACCCACACCACTCGCTCTCCAAGTTCATGGAAGTATCCTTGGTAGAGGGAGAAGGGGTGCTTTGGACGGCGGGGAGCTGAGGAGCCTGGAATGGCCAGGATACAAACTATCTTGGAAGCTTCCTTCTCTCCTCTTTGGAAATGTTCCAGGTCCATCGGCAAAAAAAAAAAAAAAAAAAAAAAAAAAAAAAGCTCACCCAGTAACATTTGCAGACTGGTAGGATGAGAAGACAATAATCTCTGTTGTTCTGCTGGAATCACAAGAAGCCTGCAAGTTCAGGGGCTTGAGGGAATTTGATATGACTGTACTCTGAATTGTGAACCGAATCGTGTGAATGGATGGCACTTCATGTACCCACACTGATGGTGGGAATGGCAAAGATGCCAGGAAAGGCACTTGAAAAATAAGTCTCGGACACAGAAAAAGCTGCTCAAAGCTTCTAAGACCCAAAGCTAAAATTGTGGTGCATTTACAAGAACCCTCCTGGATCAGGTCAAAGTTTTACCTAGTCCAGTATCCTGTTTTCCACAGTGACTGCTTTGGGAAGCCCATAAAAAAGGGCAGGCAATGCAGTGGCCTTTCTGTGTTTTACATGATGACTCCTATAATCCCTGTCCACTGGCTAGGCTGTATTGGTTGATGGGATGCAGTTCAAGACATGTGCAACACTCCAGGGTTGCCTGCCCTATTGTAAAGATGGCTCCCGCTCCACAGTTTCCCCATACTGTTGACCTTCTCTTACCTATATCCTTCCTCCTCTTAAGTTCATTAATATTCATGTTCATGGCTTTCACAGCAACCACGGCATCTTGCAGTGCTTTGTGGTCTGGGTGAGACAGGGGAGTTGCATTCAAGAGTTCACATAGCAACAAAGGATATTTCATCACACGCTGTATTGGTTTGATCATTAGAGATCCCATGTCTAGTAGATTTGGTTTTCCCCTGAAATTTAAACCAATCTATGTTAAGTAAACAAATGGCTTCCTGAAAGCAGGAAAAAGAAAAAAGTATTAATGACACCCTTCATAACAAACCCATTAAACAATTCTGTTTACTGTAACAAATATGGCTGGCAAAAGAGTACATGAGCTCTGGAAAAACAAACGACCATTAGCATAACTGATGGGTCATTACAGTTGCAGGTATAGCTGCTGCTTGCTAAGACATTATATTCTTTATTGATTGATCTGCGATGTGGCTAAATGTCTCCAGCAATTTCATGTTATAAACAGGCCACTCCTCAAAATGACCCTTAGCTGGCACAAACAGCTGGTCAGTGCCTTCTGTTTGCTGTTGAAGCATCCTTAATATTTTAACAAGGTCCAGGATGTGGGGCAATTACAAGAAGTAGCTTCCTAGGCTGCTGAGAAGGCCCCTAGTAGATGGGATCACCTGATTCACAGATGAAACAGCAAGCACTAGCGATGATATAGAGGTTCAGGTCTGATGCTCCTTCATGGCTAGCACCTTTGCCATGCAACCAGGATGCTACAGTTCTTGTACCAATAAAAGACACAGAGAGTCTCCTCTTCCATAACCCATCCTATCCCTTTTTAATGCCATCTACATTTGTGGCTCTCACTACTTCCCATGGCAGTGAATTCCATAATTCAACTATACATTGGGAGACGTGTCCTAAACCTTCTTCCAGTCAGCTTCATGAGATGACTCTGGGTTTGAGTGTTATGGGAGAGGGAGAAAAATGTCTCCCTTTTCATTTCCTCCATTCCATGCATAATTTTTAGCACCTCTATCAGGTCTCCCCTTACTCGCCTTTTATCTAAGCTGAACAGTTCCAGCTGCTATTCATAGGAGCGATGCTCCAGCCCATCGATCATTTTTTCCAATTCAATAATGTCCTTTTTTCAAGTGAGGCAATCAGAATTGAGCACAACTGCACCATGAATGGAACACAGTTGCACCAAGAGGAGTAAGGAAGTAACGTTTCTCAGTTCTATTGTCTGTTCCATTTCCTAATTATGCCTAGCATGGAGTCTGCCTTTTTCACAGTGGTCATGCACAGAGCCAACATTTTTATCAATCTATCTACTACCACCCCAAGATCCCTTTCTTGCTCTGTTGCTGCTCATTCTGTTTCCATCAGTGTGTACTTGTAACTGGGAGTTTTTGTGCCATAATGCATTATTTTAGACTTACTTATATTAAAATGCATCTGTCATTTTGATGCCCTTTCTCCTGGCTTGGTGAGATCCCTTGGGAGTTCCTCACAAGCCCTTATGGTTTGACCATTCTAAATAGTTTGGTGTCATCAGCAATTTGGCCACCTTACTGCTTACTTCTAAATCAAGATTGTTTATGAATAGATCGAAAAGAACTGATCCTAATACAGAGCCCTTGAGGGACTCCACTGGTGGCATCTCTCCTTCAGCAGAAATTACCATTTATTTCCACTCTCTGTCTTCTGTTCTTTAACCAGTTTGTGATGCATAAGAGGACTTCCCCTTTTATTCCATGACTGCTTAGTTTGCTCCCAAGTCTTTGGTGAGGGACTTTGTAAAAAGCCTTTTAGAAGTCCAAGTACAGTGCCTACTGAATTGTCCTCGTCTACATGCTTGTTGACACTCCCAAAAAGCTCCAATAGGTTTGAAGACAAGACTTCCCTTTGCAGAAGCCATGTTGACTTTTTCTCCTCAGGGGTTGTTGCTCTTTATGTTTACTGATTCTATCTTTAATTATGCTTTCAAGCAGTTTACCCAGAACAGATGTTAAGCTAACCAGACTGTAATTTCCTGGGTCCCTTTTTAAGAATTGGTGTTATGTTGGCTATTTTGCAATCCTCTTGTACAAGGGCTGTTTTTGGGGATATATTAAATACTTTAGTTAGGTCAGCAATTTCATGGTTTAGCTCTTTAAGGATTCTAGGGTGGATATTGTGGATGGATGGATAACATCAGGTGATTTTCAGGCATTCAGTAAGGTTAAGAACCAACTCCTTGGTCACTCCTCAAACTGCTTCCTTGTTTCTCTGATTGTCCCTTGTGCAATCTGGTGGTCCTTTCTATTCTTTTCATACCATCTCTTGCAGGTAGCTTTTTTCTCCCAAATGGTTTTCTTGACTCTACTCATTAACCAAACTGGTGATTTCCTGGACGCTGTGTTGCCTTCCCTCACTTGTGGTATGCATATTTTCTATCCCTCAGCTACAGTATCATGGAGATGGGATTATTTGATGTGAGAGGACTTGCAAACAAGCATACTAGTTGTGAACATTAGATTTAGAGGTCTGCTCCTGGGGCTGCCCTGCTGAACTTCACCTATATTAACAACAGTAGCAGCAGCAACATTTCTTCAAGGGTTGAGTACTATTTTCCCTTTCCCTGCTTAGTGCTGCACCAAATATAAAGCCCTGCTTTTGCAGCACAACTGATTGTTTTTAACTTGAAATCATAATGGTTTGCCACAGACCCTTCCCTGCTCCCACTGAAATCTTTAATGGGGCCAAGTAGATTTCAAGTGTCTCTGCATCTGTCTTCAGTTGCTCTTTGGATAGCTGCCAAAGTGATAAATAGCCCTCTGCTTGCATTTCTGCATGACACAATCTAGCAATATGGCTTGAAAGATAGTAGGTTTGCTAGGAGATAATGACTCCCTGGGGCATTAAATGCTAGCAAGTTCAGCCCATCTAATTCTGCCCAGTCAGATTACCCAGTGATAACTGTTCTCCTTAGATTAGTTGCGATCTCAGCAGACATCCTTGAGTGTTACACCGTAGCCCTAGAGAGCGTGGTCTTGCTGTGGAGGTTAAAATAGATGTGTAACAACTTGTGACATCCATTGTGCAGAAAATTAAGTTGATAATTCATTTGCAATGCTTCTTCAGCCATAGCATCCTCGCATGAATTTTGTTAAAACTCCTAGAGCCAGAAGTAACTACGCTAATCTCATTGCAAATCACAGCTACTCCTTTATGCTCAAATTAACACAGCTGGCTTAATTCTGAAAGCATCTACTCCCTCTACAGATGGCAAGCTGCAGAACGAAGTCATACACGGAATAACAACAGACATTCTGCCTTCCCTTCTCTCCCTTCTCCCACCAAGCTGGCACAATTACAATATGGCAGAACCCCATGTGTGTCGCCTGAGTAACTTAATGAAAGGGCAGGATGCGAATTGGAATGATAATAAAAGATCAAAATTGCCAGTTTATGAAAAACCCAGCTAATCAAGACATCACTGAAATGTTCTCTATATATAACTGTGGATTTCCACACACATGCTGAACCAGTTCACATGGCCATGGCGACATCTCCTGTTTCTTTAATCTAGCCGTGATTGGCAACAGACACTCGTTTCCTCTTTAACTTGTGTGCACACTAGGTGACACAATCCAAAGTTAACCCACCCACAAACTGTAGGCAAATGTTTGGTTAATTGTGGATCGGTTCCCATTAACAACTCAGGGTTGTTCCTTAAAAGTGGAAGCAATTCATTGTTTTGTCCCTGGAAAGTCTTGGGTGAAACAGGACAGAAATGGTTGCTGTCTTGTGCGTGCAAGGTCATGACTTTCCCCTGCCTGCATCCAGATGGGCTGATAGAAGCAGGTTTGGTTTCTTTGTCCCATTAAAAGCTGAAGGACACACTAAACTAATAGCATAGCATGCAGCTGAAGGTTCACACAAACAGCCCCAGTTCAGATTGGGACCACCCCCTGAACTGTGAAAAGCAAATTCAATGTCTCCTTCTCACTGTTTGCTGCCCAACCTTCCTCCTCTATTGCCAGGGGTAATGGATTAAAAACAGGAAAAAGTTTCCGTTGGTGTCCACTTTCAGCAAAGACAATCTGCTTCTAACTCACCAGGTGACAAAACTGGAGGTACCACTCCAGACTACAATGGAAGAACTACAAAAATGAGCCTCCCCAACCTTGTACTCTCCAAATATTTTGGACTTCAGTGCACATCATCCTCAGCCAACATGGCCAACTGTAAGACATTACGAAAGTTGCAGTTGAAATAATCTGAAAGGCACCAGGAAGGTTGAGGAAGGCAGTCAGACAGCAAGTTGGCCTGTCAAAGAGAAGGCTTGGGCTGGAAGCACTCCAACATCTTGCATTTAAGTACTCGCCTGGTTGCCATGGGTGGCAAGGAACTGTGGGGGAAAGAAGTCTTCCATGCTGAGGCCGCTTTATCCAGGGCAGCTGAGGACCTCATGGCAACCATGACAACCAGGGGGCTGTCTCAGCATGTCATCGGCCTGGCGCATGGGAAGGGTCACACCTGTGACCTGGCCTTTCCAACAGGACAGTGGGATGGGGATTCTGATGTGGCGGGACTAACATCTATCCCTTTGTCATGGCCGGACCACTGCCTGGTCAAGTTTAGGCTGTCGCCTCCTCTCACCCTTTGCAAGGGTGGGGAATCAGTTAGAATGATCTGCTCTCAGAGTCTGATGGATCCTGATGGCTTCCAGAGGGCTTTGGGGGAATATTCTGCTGCTATGGTTGGCACTCCTGTTGCTGCCCAGGTTGACTTGTGGAATAGAGAAATGGTTCAGGCTATTGACTCAATTGCACCAAAGCGCCCTCTCCCAATCTGACAAGCCCATTCAGCCCGTGGTATAATGATATGCTGAGGGCAATGAAGCAGGTGGGGAGACAGCTAGAACACCGGTGGAGGAAGTCCTATGATGAGTCTGATCAAATACATTTAAGGGCTCATTATTGAGCCTACTTCGTGGCAATAAGGCAGGCAAAGCATGGATACTTTGCTTCCCTTATTGCTTCCCCTTAGTGCTGTCCAGCCGAGCTTTTCTGAGTGGTCCAGGGCCTCCTACAATCTGGTTCTCTGGGTGAGATGCCAGAGCCCTCGATAGTTCTGTGGGACAATTTGCTTCTCACTTTGAGGAAAAAATTCCTCGGATGGCCTGGAGCTTGACTCGGCCATTTGTGCAGTGCAATCTTCGGATGTGTCTAGTGCACCGTCTAATGGTGTCCCCCCTTGCTGTCCCCCCTTGCCTCGCCTCATGCTTTTCCTGGTTTAGCCATTGCAGCTGGGTCTGCTTTGGGACTTTCACTGTTCCTCTGCATCCAACAAAGACTCTCAGTCTCTGACCTGGTTTGTTGCTGTCAGGGCTCTGGTCAATGCTGGCAAGTTCCTGGCTTGGAATACGGCCAGAGGGTTTCTCCCCGGGCCCAGCTGAGTCATCCCTGCACAGGTGATCTCTTGGATGATCTATCAGTAGCTTGGGGAACAAGTCCAGCTGGCAACCCTCACTACAGCACACCTTGCAGAAGGTAATTCAGCCCTGCACTCAACTGAGGGAAGTTGGGCACGGCATTAACCAGCCAACTTGGCTTCACAGCTTGGGGGAGCTGCTAGCTCATAATATAGCACAATCCGTTTCCCTGTTTAAACCAAAATGCAAAAACGATCCTCAGAAGAATTCTCATTTCATTGTAGCTGCATATTTTTCTATGTGTGCATGACTGTCAAAATTATTCACTGAATCTCACGGAGGTATTTATTTTGCTAATCACCAACACACTGTCTTTGCCCTGAGTTACAGGCTCAGCGTAGAGCCAGGAGAAAAGGATCTTGTAGATGGGTGTTTGTTTCCGATGCAGGAATCCACATGCAGAAATACTCATTAGAGTTCCCACAAGAACGGGGCTGGGGGAGGAGGGGTATTATTATTATTCCTGGGTCTTGCATGCTAGGAGGTTTCAAACTGCAAACTGACCTCTGAAAAGTAATTGCTTATGAATTATCGAGCAATTTACATTCTGTGTGCAACTCAGTTTATGGCATCTATTTTTGAAGGTGATAAGTGCACATTAATTTGTGGAAATGCAGCACAAGCAATTTGCGGCACATCTGTGCTATGCCTACACACACATGCACAAGCTCTTTCTTCCCCTTTTCTACATACAAAAGCACAGATTTTCTATTGTTTTCATAAGCACAACCTCTTTATCATTGCCAGAGTCTTCTCCCATCTTTTATTTTTAAATAGACAGCCACTGTCCTGTTGATCCCTGGAACATTCACTTACATGGCCTAGTTTACTTCATCTTTGCACTGATTGGCAGTACAATATATTCTTTCCCCACAACCCCAAATGTCAGCCTGATGAGAATGTGTCAAAAGCCATTTCCAAGATTTTAAATGCTACTTGGTTAGGCTAAAAATAAACTCATTATCTGTCTACTTGTTTCAGTGTCTTGTTCAATGGACCAACACAGGCTGAGCGAAATGAAATAGTCCTGTTCCTTAATTGCTCTCTGGTAGAATTCCAGCTGGAAACCTAGATTCTGGAATGTGAGAACAGATTCAGATAGGCTACAGCCCTGATGGAAGGCAAGCAGCAGCGGGTGGCTGAAGCCCTCCTGTCCCAACAGTCTTCACAGAGAAGGTTAGGACTACACAATCTCCTGCCCACATCCCAAGAGTGTTTTCAGAGCTACAGATGTTTTCGGTCTCCCTGTGATATTAAACAGAGTCATTGATTTCTCCGCCTAATTGCATAGTAAGAGTCAAAGAAACTGCCATCTTGAAGCCAGATTCAAGCCAGATTCACCACTTCAGGAGAAATTTTCTAAGAACCATGAAATCCAGGGCAAAATGCACTCATGCTGGTCTCTGAAAGAATTCCTACTAAGAAGCTACTAGTACTTTGATCAGACTTAGGATAATATTGTAAATTTGTGGTCAATGATGTAAGGACCATTAGAACATGCTGGATCAGACCAAGGGCCCATCCAGCCCAGCATGCTGCTCACACAGTGGCCAACCAGCTGCCCACAGGATCCCTCAAGCGGGATAGGAGTGCAAGAGCATTCTTCCTCTTGAACCTCAGCTTGTTTCCCTGTTCACTTAACCTGGGTGAAGTCTAAAGACTTCCAGATAACCAGATCCCCAATGTGCATATGTGCATGGCTGTGTGGTGGGACCCGTTTGGGCAAGAATGCCAGGTCTGTGCCTTTCCCCACCACAGCAGTTCTCACATGCAACGTAAGATATTCACATGTGCATTGAGAGGTGTGCCTCATCTGTTATTTCACATGTGCAGACAGATGGGACACAGATGACATTCTTGCACCACATGATGGGAAGATGGTGCATACCAGCTCCCCCCAAAACTGATGCTAGATTGTGCAACTAGTTCTAGAAGACATTACAAGAGACATTCACTAGCACATAAAATTATACTGACGATAATTCAATTGTATTAGGGTGGTTTAAATGTTTCCCACAATTGTTAAAACCATTTCCAAGGGTGTTTCTTCTAGAGCTCAAAATGGCACACAGATCATGGCAATGTTATCCTGAGATTCAAAAGCATGAATGGGAATTTGTGTCTCCTGGAGAAAGAGAGGGGAGGAAGAACAAACTAACAGACACATTTGTTATATAATCCCTGAACATGGGCTTGATTGAGCATGTAAAAAAGCCCTCATAGACTGGCAGCCACATCAGTTGACTGACTGGAATAGAGGAGGGGTCTGTTGGTGATGGGGGACAGCTAAATACAGTTCACCCCTATTCTGAATAGCTGACTAGCACTACTGCTTGTTTTCAGAAATGATATGCATTTGGGGCCTGGGTCGCTCTTCCACCACCTCAGGATACATGCACAGACCTGGCTTCACTTTATGGCTGCCCCTTGCTCATCTGCAGTAAGCGAGGATCATGCCCATCCCTCAAATATGCGAGAACCAGACCAAGCAGCCTCAGGTCCAAAATGACTGGAAAATCTAGAGTGGCATTTCAGTAGCAAGATAGGAAAATAGGAGGCCTAAATAATGTCATATTACATGGGTCCTCAAACTACGGTCCGTAGGACGGACCCAGCCTGCCATGCCCATTTATCTGGCCCGCGCCGCTGCCCACCACCCACACGCAAACTCGCCGCCTCGCCACACGGGCAGGGAGGCGGTGACTTGCTCACTCGGAGATGGTTTTGGACTCGCTGGGAGATCTCTGAATGAGCAAACCGCTGCCGCACACGCCCGATGCCACCTCACGCGTGCCTGACGCCACCTCACCAGCCCGCGTGCCCAGGCACCCCTGCCTCACCAGCCTGTGCCGGTAGCCGCCACCTTTCAACTGGCCCCCTTTTGAAAAAGTTTGAGGGGCCCTGCCATATCGTTCACTCATATCCTGTATTTTATGGCATTGCACAAGTTATGGCATTGCTTTGCTAAAGACATGCACCATCAAAACACCTTTGGACAGCTTTCCACTATTACAAATTATCTTTTGTTAACAGCACTTTATAAAATGTGTTGCTCTGCCTTTTTAAAACAAAACAAGATAATGAGCACCAGTGCAGAGAGGTAGTTAGAGTGTTGGCCTTTGACCAGGAAGACCCAAGTTCAAATCCCCATTCAACCCTATTTGGGTGACAGTGGCCAATCAGGCACTCTCTCTTTCTCAACTTGACCTACCTCACAGGATTACTGTGAAGATAAAAGGATGAGAGTAAAGCATAGGAATGTCAGGGATGGCCAGACTTGCTTGCTGGGAAAGCAGGTATGGTACATGTCAGATGTTTAAGAACCACAGCTGGGCATCCATGGGAGGTAGGGATAAGTGGCAAGCAGGCGCCCATGGGTGGCAGTGAGCTGTGGACAGCAAGTGGGTGCCCACGGGTGCCCGCAGCAGCAAGTGGCAAGACACAAAATAAATTCAAAGGGCCACATGTGGCTCCCAAGCCTCGTTTTGGCCACCCTGGCATGTATGCATCCCTCAGCATACTCATTTAAGGGCAGAATAAAAATGTAATTAAAAAATATAGTACTTACCCTTCTTCATATATCTTTCTGCCAATAGAAAAAAGGAGAGTTGTTAGCATTTACCTTAGAAGATCTATATCAACACCCTGATTCAGTTCTGCATGCATTAAATGTAGGAAATTGGTTCACATAAAGTGTTAAGTCATGTTTTAGGTATGAGACTAAGCTTCAGGAAACCCAAGACTCTCACGCTTCACTTTGGTCCTTCCTCCACTGCAGCTGGGATTAGCTATAACTCTGCATGTGTTCACTTCCACTTTAGATTAATCATAGTATAGCATTACTCTGAATCTCTAAATCATGATTAATCCTAACCATAATTTGTTGATACAAACCAGCTGCTTAAACTATGGTTTGAAGATGGGTTGTTTCAACAAATTATAATTAAGATTAAAGTGTTTATTAGGTCTGAACAACACAGCATGCTGCAGCAAATCTGAAGCAGAAGTAAACATTCTCAAAATCTGACTTGCAGTGGGGAGTGTGAAGCTCATCTAGATCCATTTCCATAATGCTATAGCATAGTTTAGCATCATCTTCCCAAACTGGTTCAGTGGGGACTTCTTCTATGTAGACATGGGGGTTGGGGAGCAAAGAGTGCTAATTTCCAAGCTTTATTCTCTTACAAATACATAGTTAACTGCTTCCTTGGACTATGTTCACCAAGGTAGTTTGCTAATAAAATTTCTTTTCATATGCTTTAGACTCTTTTGAGCTATATTCAGAAGCCAAAAGCTTTACATAAATCTGGTCCCATAGCTTCCTGAAAAGCAGTACATTACATGAAGGAGCATAACAACACAGGCTTTTGGGAAAGAAAGAGAAAATAGTCTCAGTAGACTTACGGACAATTTTTTATAGTGGGGCTTAAGTATTTTATTATGGTGATAATTTAAATTAGTTACAGATGCATTTGGTGCATTAAAAGATGGAATGTGGGAGTTTAAGATGGCACTTCCCTGAAGCAACCACCAAGATGCTTTGATGGCATCTTGCAGATTTTTTCCAGTTTGGATCTCACAACAGAGAAATATATTCATGGTTCCAGGAAAGCAGCATAAGCATGTCCTCCTACTGAGCCTCGTAAAATTCTGGATTTATAGGAAATATTTCATTTACAGCTGTTTAAGTTCTCCCTTGCTGGAAAACGAGCAAGTGATGGAAAGAGTCCCTTGAAATGTTCTTACTTTAAGGACTGTAGGCAGTCTCTTATATGTTGCTTCAATTCTTCATCCTTTTCATAGCATTCTAGCAACATGTGGGCATCATCATGGTGATAACAGTAAATTTTATATGCATCTTCTAGTAGGTCTTTAATCTGCAAAAACACTTGCCCTGTTTAAATGGAAAGCAAAAAACAAAAGCCAAAACCAAAACTCATGGTCAGATCTTTTAAGAACCTCTTCAAATATATGAACCTGTCTGACCTTTATGAACCTGTCTTGGATGCTCTGCTGCAAGAGAGGAGCAGGGACTAAACACCAGACCTTCTCAACAGTAGTGCTTTTTGTTGAGATCTCTTGAGTGCCCCTTTTTACAGTGGCCTTGTGTCCTACATTAAAGAGGACATTGCTCTGCTTAAAGCAATATTCAAACAGTCTGCCATTTAATGGCCTGTCTGACACAACTGCCCCCCCCTTTTGGGGGGTGCACATTCACTTGTGAGATACTATAATTGAGCCAAGAATGGAACTGTGTAAGTGGCAGCTTTCAATTTAAGTTTTGTGATGTTGTGATTCATTACTAAGGCTGCAATGCCTCTCTCTTCACCCCCAAACCCACTGCTCCTGCACCATGCATGCAAAAGCTAAACAAATGTTTTCTGTGTATCTGGTATTGAAGGAGGTGAAGCAAACACACGCCAACCTCAAAAGAAGAGAGGAAGAGACACAAATATTTTTAATACGAGTGTGATCTTTCTGTTATACAAAAATTCCTTATGGTTATGTGCAAAAAATGCACATAAACAATTGCTACAGTATTTGTTCCTATACAGAAGCAGGGATTTTTATTGAAAGCAAGGAATGTTGGGAGCGTGTGAAATAAGAAATGAACTCCCAGAAACCTCCCAGGGGTACAATTCTGCCTGTAAACAAAGCGCTCACTCTCCACATTCCGTCTTTTCAAGTATAATCATAGGGGTTTTGTCATTGCTGCTGCTGCTGCTGCGGCTGCTGCCGTCACCAGCGTGCCACCTTCCCCACCGCTGCGGCTGCTGCTGCTGCACCGGTGACAGCAGGAAAAAAGGAAGCAAAGGATTTACTGGAAAAGAAGTTGCATGGAAAGACAGCGCTTCGTTTGCCACAGAATTGCACTCCCAGGCGTCTTCTGGGAGCTTGAGTCTTTCTCTAAGCAAGGTGCATGCTCCCTTATTTGCCTCGTTTTCAAACACAATTGCAGTATAGGAATAAAAAGCATAGTAATTTTGCGTGTGTTTTAACATTCTTTACAAATTGTAGCAGTTTTTATTATAAACTTACAGGAAGTTCAGACCTGAAAACTGTTGTCTCTCTCCTGCCTGTGTCTCTGGAACATTTTTATGTGCTATGAGGAAATGCGAAAAAGGGCATGGGAGTAAATTGTGTTTCCTTTTTGCATTTCTAGGGTAAATCTTTTCTTTCTTCAGCTCTTTCAGTGACTGACACAGAGTAAATGCTTATAAAGTTTGGAAGAAATCGGACAGCCATCTGAGTGGGATGATGTAAATTGGTGTCCTGCAACAGCAGGGGGTTGGACCCGATGGCCTTCATGGCCCCTTCCAACTCGACTATTCCATGATTTGAGCAAAAATGCATGAGGGAAGGAGGAAGGAAGAGAGGCAGTCTAATTCTCCAATCCTTTGGCTACATGAGAAAACAGTTTCCTGATGGAATGGAACTGTTTCCCATTAGTGGTTGGTGCTGTTCAGTAACAGAAGTAAACATGGACTCAAGTGATACATCAGCTGCACATAGGCTTGCAAAGAGCATTGCTTTCTGCAGGGAAGCAGCATGTTCTGATGGTGCATTTGCTTGGGCTTCTGGCTGACTTGGGGGCAAAACAATTCACCTTCTGATCTCCTTTTGTGCCTCATGGCTGAGATGAATGCCAAATCCACTGAGGTGAACTCTATTGACTACAGGCTGAATGTGCAGCTTTCATTAAGGATTATGTATGTATGGATATGCTTTAAAGGGGCCATGTCCCTTATAGCACATCATCCCTCTCTCCCTCTCCCTCTCTCCCTCACCCCCCCCCCCCCACACACAGAGCTGTCTTTCTCCCTCAGCCACTCACATTGCTTGTTTTGCCTTTAAAAAGAAAGGACTTACCAGAAGTGTTTAGTCAAATCATGCCCAATGCTGCACAAGACTGTCTCAAGAAGCAATTATCTTTCCCCCTCCCCACAATTCCTCCATCTTCTTTGTGGGAAGAGAAATTGAATGCACAATTTTGTGGGATTTCCCTGAGGTGAGGAGAAATCCTCATTGATTTCCCACAAGCAGGGTTCCCCCTTGGCCAGGGCTCCTTTCCTGTTTTGGTTTTGGCTTGGGGTTGTGATGCCCAAGTTGTGTTGGCCTCATTTTGCATCCAGTGTAACACACAGTTATGGGGGCAGCATTGTGTCCCTCTCCAAGGAAGAAGGCAGCTAGTGCCACACCAAAGCTTGTCCTCCAATTTCCTGAAAGCCTTTCTTCCCTGTGAAAGAGGCTTCCATTGTTCTGCCTCATTCTGAAGCATGTATATAATTGTGGTCATGTGAGATGGCCAAGGATGTGCTGCTGGTGTGTTTTCTTTCTGCTGTGCATCACTCCATCACTCAGCAGCCTCCTGAGCCAGCTGTGCTTCCTGAGCCGAAAAGGTCCTGCGGGAGGAATTACCTGATTAGGTCTTCCCTTGGGTTTTAACTGCGGGGTGGGAAACCAAGGAAGCTACAGGTTGCCAGACAGATTGCTGTACAATAAAAACAGGATACTTGCACACATCCTTAGTCACCTCCTAAGTCAGGTGAACACAAACAACATGACCCCAACCCATGAAAAATCCTTTGAAATGTTTGTCACCAAACCAGAAGCATCAATGGGAGACTTTCTGATCCCCTGTTTCGTCTAGTACAGGAGCATAGAACCCGTGGCCATCATGGGGTCCTCCATGCATGTGGCTCCCTGGCTGAATGCCCATGAGCTTGCTAGCCTTCCGTTTATCCCCTCCTGGTGCAGAGGGTTCCTTCCCTGCCACTGACACCAACTTTGTATCAGGATGGCTAAGGCGTGCTTGCTTTGCTTGCATGCATGCATGCATGTGCGTGGAGCGCCCCACTCCCTGCGCTAGCATCACACAGAGCCCTAGGCTCGGAAGGGGCCTTTGAGATCGACCAATCCAGCCCTCCAGCTCAGTGAAGGCTCTGCAGTGCTGAGGCATCCTTAACAAATGGCCGCTCAGTCTCTGCTTGAAGATATCCAGTGGAAGAGAGTCCAGCATCTCCTGAGGCAACCTGGTCCACTTCTGCCCTGCACTCAGCCTTAGGAGGCTTCTCCTCATGCTTCCCTGCAAAGGTCCACCCACTGGCTCGAAGTCCTGCCCTCTGGAGCAACAGAGAAGACACCTGATCTCTCATCTGCATGATGGCAGTGCAGGTATTTGAACATACAATCAGGTCTGTTTAAGCTTCCCACTTCTGGGCTAGACATACCTGGCTCTTTTGACTATTCCTCAAAGGAGTGGCTTTCCAGAACTCTCACCTTCCTGGTGGCAACTCTCTGGACCCACTCCATTTTGTCATTGCCTTTTTAAAATGTGGAGGCCAGAACTGGACACAGAACTGCAAATGCAGCTTTGCTGATGCAGAATTGGGTGGAACTCCCGATGTTCTGGATGCTATGCTTCTGCCAATCAAGCCCAAGATTGCTTTAGCTTTTCTTAGCAGCTGCAGCTGCAGTGTGGTTTGGGGGCTTAAAAAGCCACACTTCTTTGAAAGTCTGTCTACTCCTTCAGAAAGGCATGTGGCACAGCCTGAAAAGATACCACATTCAAAAGCAACATGGTGATGATGGAAGAATGCATGGCTGGAATCTTGCATTTAACCACTCCAAGCAGCAATATGCAACCAAGGATTCCATGCAGGTGATTGAGCAAAGGTGTATCTCTCTGTCAAGCTTCTGCCAGCCAGCTTGCTTCCTGTCCTTGCCATGCTGAAAGGGAAGCCAGTTTTCTCTAGACCAGCATGGAAATGCAGGGTACAAGCCTCTTGGCTGGCTAGTAGGTTAGCTTGTTTTAATTTTTGAAGACTGTTAATTTTTTCTTGCAAGATTTCTTTGGAAGGCTCATTTAATGTCCTTATATTTAAAACATATAAACTCCCTACCTGTAGAAAGCTAGCATACTTCTAACTTACTGCCTGCCGTGCTGCTTTGTTAAGTACAAGGAGAACTTTTTACAAAATGGGAACATTTAAATCTAGTTCCTCAGTCATTCTGAAAATGAACTAGGACAGCATGAACCTTTTCTTAATGTGAATATTTCTGTAGAAGTGCTTGCTTATTTATTTATTAAAAGCTTTTCTATCCTGTCCCCTACAGACATCTTGGGATAGCTTACTTTTGCCTTGGCACCAAAAGCAGGTAAGAGATAGGGAAGAAAAGAGAGCTTTTAAAATTCTTAACCAAGCTCAATTTTAAGCTGAAAAATATACAAAGGGAGGGAAGCAGGGAGAAAAAAGATGTTGATGGATAAGCTGAAAAGACCACAGTCTTAAAAACTGATTAAGAGAGTTATTACACATTAAAGATGGTTTGTGCTTGGTGTACCAAGAAAACTACCTGGTGACTCTCTCACTTAAAATATAAAAAGCAGAAGTTTTTTTGGTTGTTTCTCTAGCACTAACCTAGGTAAACAGCTTCTTGATACATTATCTATAAAGACATATCTCAGGAATTGATTTTAGTTCCTGCATCTTTAGCGTGTAGGAATGCTCCCTCTGACATGGAATGAATTCATGGATTGCACCATGATTATGGGTCTGGTTACATTTGAAAGGCAATTGTTTCTTTTCTGGCTTGCATTTAACTTATTAAGAGAAAAGGCAGCCTGGAAAAAGGTGCATGCTTGATATGGGGGCAAATGTGAGTTTAAATGCACTATCAGTATTCCATGTGGTTTTGGAGAGATCAAAGAAGACAGCAAACATACCGATTACTTGCATGGCTGGCTCCACATTTGCCGTTGCTTCTTCCAATGCTGACAGCAGTTTGGTTGATATGTGATAGACCGATTCGATGTTGCTAAATAAGCCGTCCACATCAAGCCTTGCAATCTGGGAGAAACACAAACATTGGGCAGCAACTGTCAGGGAAACAAGGCGATGCGGTTTGTTACCAACCTTTTGCTGCATTTTCAACAGTTCCCTTCTATAGATTTTAGAACAAAAGCTGCATTGGCAGATTAAAAATACAAATCGATATATTGAGTATGGTGTAGTTCATAGAAGGATGCTTGATCACATGCATAGAATAACCTTTATTTCTTTTTCTTCCGGGATGCATCTAGAAGTTAAATCCTATTATATATTATAGCTATTTTCCGAGAAACTTGCTAATTAAAAGCCTTTTCCTGCCTTAATTTTGCTTCTTAAGATGGTTAAAACTTAAGGAATAATGGTATTTATTTGTGAATCATTTGATTAAGAAGCCTCACCCTATAAAAACATACGTCCACAATGGTTTTCTCGTTATAGGGATTATATTCATATAGCAGACCAACCCTATTTTATGAAAATTAAAATGCAGAAAATAAAATCAAAGCAATGATACTAGAGTTACATTTAAAAATGAGAGATTTGTAATTATTTCTAATGGGAAAAAATCACTATAAGCTGCAAGCCAAATCACAGGTACATATTTGGCACAGTTCCTGTCCAATAAAAATAGATTCCTGTGGATCTTGTAAATGTGTGTTTATGTGATTTGTGTGCCATTTCCTTCATCAGATGAAGGGACAATGAATCAGTCTGTAGAAATCTTGGAATTCCCAGTAGGGAGCAATGTATGAAGTTAACAACTATGTTGATTTGGCAGATGGGTGAGCTCTTTCACACATGCTTAGCCATTAGGGTTTCATAAGTCATAGAACTGTGTATTTATCCAGACAATTGCTTACCAAAACACAGTCCTGAAGAACCAAGTTGCAAGTTATAGTAACTGGATCAATATATTGTAATGATTGGCAGTATAGGTAACCTTTGATTATACAAACCAGTAACATTTTTAGCACATTAGGAAACCTCCACTCAAGTTAGTTATTCATTTTAGTGACTACATTGACAGACTCTTTTAACATTTATTTGGAAACCTAGATCTGGATGTGCATTAAAAGCAAAGGAGTATAGACAACGCTCAAACAGACTGTAGGTACCTGCACCTCAGCACAGTCCTGTAAATATCTATTCAAAAATAAACACCACTGACTTCAACTGGATTTCCCAGGAAAATGTATATGGAATTGCAGGCTTCATTACTTTTGTATTAAGTGTTTGCTCTTTATGTAAAACATAGCCTTTTACATGGAAATTAAAATATTTGCCACCATAAGCTGAATTTTGGATTTTCATTTTAGGTTGGGTACTTAAAAAATATGGCTGTGGCTTAATCATGATCTATTAAACTTGGTTTAGGGCTAGCATATTCGTTTCACACCACTGATTAGTAAATAAATACAGTTGCTAAAGTGATGGTATTTTAAACAGTGCTTCCTCTCATTATAGGGAAGTACAACTAATGGGTAAAAATTGTGGCAAGGAAGGGCTTTGCTTGCATTGCAACAGGGTAGAGGCCCCTGTCTTTATCAGCTTCACATTAGAAGAATCCAGTTGTGGTGACAGAAGAGTGCATTTGTGGTGCAGATAACTGACAAGTTGTAACTTGACTGTCACACCTGCTGTATACTAGCAGAGAAAAGCTGCTGCCTGCAGAGTATGCCGTGATTCCCAACAGTACTTTGCCTTGATGGGAAAAAAGCAGCATGTGCTGACTAAATGGTAGCCAGATAGCTTTGAAATCTCCGCTGCACAACAGAACAGCAAAGTAAAATCTGCATGAAAAGATATAATTGTAGTAAGCACTTCCATTAGCTCCGCTGTCTAAAGCTCGATCTCCGGAGACTTGTTTTGCTGCTCTGCAAAGTATTTTCCCACAGTTACCATGCATAAAGCCACAGTGATTTTATCTGAGACTTACAGTAACTTTAGGAAGAAGCTCATTGTGCTGCAAAGGAATGTATCCTCCACAGAAATGTCAGGACCAGCCAAAACAAAAGGAAGAACTTGCAAGCTCTAGTGACCTTAGAACTTTTCTACATAAGGTTTTTACACCTGTGAATGACCTGTGACTAATTCCTTAGTCACAGGTTGTTCACAGGTGTTCTAGATGAGGTGACTACATAGTTTCATTTCCTTTTAAACAAAGTAATTTTGGGGGTATGGGAGGGAATCCTGTATTTTTTGTGACATCAAACAAAAAAGTTAATGCCTACTAGTGTAGTTGCATTTTCCACTATATTACACTGCCACCTAGAGGTTGGATGTGGAAAGCCTGGAAAAGCAGGCAAGGAAATTATTTTAATTCTGCAACGAAACCAGAAGTAAAATAACCTCATCTAGAAAAGCTCCTAGATTGCAAAGCCCCTACCTAAATGAGATTGGCCCTAATCCTGAGGATACTGATGCTTGGCTCTACCTTTACTGCTCAGTCACAAAGTGCTTGGAAGTCTTGCCCCATTTTCATAACCTTCCCACCACTGTGCCAGCACAAAGTAGAAAGCATTTTTGGTCCTTACTGAAAAATAATAGTTGGTCCTGTTTTGAAATAGCTTATTTTGCCAATTTCGTAATTAATTAATTTGAAATGTTATAATATTAATAACATGAACTGTTCTGCTTGTCCTTTATTTTAACTGTGTACTATTATAGTTGATGTATTGGTATGTTGTCTTTTTTTTTTTTGGTTAGCCACTGTGGGCACATTTTTGGGGAAAAGCAGAATATAGATTAAATTACGATGATGAAAAGGGAATTTCCAGCACCAAGACAATTGAATTTTCACCAGGAAACCAGAAACAAGCAAGCAAAGCAAGTCTAAACTACAATACAGTGTAAGTTCTGGTTTATATAATGGCATGTTCATCCCTTCATGACTGAACCATCAAGTGGTGACTCAAATATTTGCATAGGCCATCTCAGCTACAAAATGAAGGCCAGGTTCAGACGTAAATGTAGTCCACAGTTACATGGATGGGTTTGCTGTAGCCTCTTCCTCATTTCTTCTCTGATGCAGCCACAGTGAGGAAACTGGAAGCGTCTGTGTCCTACCACTCTTACATCTAGCGAGGAAAAACCCTTGCTAGGTTAAACTATGGTTGTATTAACCAGTGGTGGGGACTCAAGTTGAGTGACTTGCTCCCCAGTCCCACTCCAGTTGTGCCAGAGACTTGACTTGGGAGCAATGAGTGAGTGGCTCAGCTAGACGTGTCTACATTTTTTACGACTGAGTTGCTCCAGGGCTTCCTGTGCAGCAGAATATCCTGGAAAGCAGGCATGAGCACAGCGGAGGCAGCGGGAAGGAGAGCGTCCAGGGGGTGGGGGCAGGGTTAGGGTTTTACTTGTTTGTTTAAATAAATTGTGGTTGAAGTCAGGACCTCAATGAATCAGTGAGAGAAGTGCAGATGGGAATAAGGGGACGGGGGTTCCAACTCTTCCACTCCAGCACACCTCATCACCGCCTCCCTTTTTTCTGTTTAAGTCGGCTCTTGAGACTTTAGAAGAAACTTGAGACTTGACTCAAAGATTTCTTTCCGTGACTTGAGACTTGACTTGGACCTGAAAGCAAAGACTTGAGGCTTGACCCAAGACTTGGTATTCAACCTGGGATCATAAATGCTAGTTAGATCTGGACTTGTTTCAATAAGCCATGATTTAGCAGTACATGAATCTTTGTTACATTATTCAAAGCTCTGTGTGTAAGGAAGTTGATCTTCCTGACTTATTTTAGCAGAACCATATTGGTGTTTCTGCTTTCAGGAATTCTGAATAGAGTGAACAGCTTTGCAGAACTAAAACCATGGGGCATGGCAATTCTTTCATGCCATGCCAGCAGTTATTTCTAATTGCTGGTGGGCAGAGAAGCATTGAGTTGATATTTCTCATCAGGAACGTATCTGCCTCTGCACAATAATCCAAGACTTCCTTACCTGCCTCCTTCTCAAGGGCTCAACCACTGTCCTGATGCACAGTTCCAGATCATTGAGATAGTCTTTTTCTGTCTGGATCATTTCTGCAATAATCTTTTGCCTTTTGGCCATCATCCGCCTCTTGAGCTGTTCTTCAGTTTCCAGTGGTGAACCAACTAGTCCTGAGGACCCTGCTTGGGGTGCCATCTTCTCTGGAAAAAATAATAAAAAGAACAGACATGTTTTTAAAAGCTTTATAGAAGAGCAACCTATTTGTCAACTGAAGGGTGAGCTGTTAAGGGTGCTGTGTCCTCACTAAAAGAATTTCCCTCAGAAGAAGAACTGGAGAGTCCAGAAACCAAGAACACCTCCGATCAGCCAGTGTCACCAGCCCAGGAGGATTCTGGGCCCTCAGGGAAAGAGCTGCTGCAGGGCCATCCCTGCCATGGGAAGAGGACCACTTCTGAGGCAGAAATTGAACAACCCCTGCTCTCCAGGAGTGCCATTGCCTACTGGGGGCAACCCAGTAGGACTCTTCTGAGGAGTCCTACTGGTGTCTCCTAAGGAGTGCTTGCTGGCAAAGAGGGCCTCCTTAGGAGAAAGTGACTCTTCATCGTCAGGGTGTTGGCTGGAGGCTCTAATGTACAGTAACTGAGCCCTGGGTGAGCCTCAAAAACCCTTCAGCGTTGTTGTGATCAGTGCTAGAAAGAACACTCTGTTAGCGTCAGTGGCTTCTATCTTGTGGATCATGCCCTGTGACTGATGTTCAGGCTCTCCTTTTGGAGGTGTAATGTATCTGACTACAGAGCCCATGTGGTGAAGTGATTAAGAGATGGGGCTGGGACTTGGGAGATCAGGGTTGCAGTCCCCATTCAGCCATGAAGCTCACTGGGTGACTTTGGGCCAGGCAAAGACCCTCAGCCCAACCTACCTCACAGAGCTGCTGTTCTGAGGATAAGATTGAGAAGAGGAAGAGAATTGTGTAAGCTGCCTTGAGTTCTTTGAAAGAAAAAAGGTGGGATATAAATATAAGTAAACAAATAAATACCTATCCATGGTTTGGCTCTTGCCTGCTTCCTTAATCACTTCTTTTTTAGAGTTGTCTCTTTATTTTCTTTATACTTATTTATTGCTACTTGGTATTATAAAAAATCTTTCTCAAAGATGCTCAGGGCAACATGTTTTTCCTCCCATTTTATCCTCACAATAACTTTGTGAGGTAGCTCAGTCTGAAAAATAATGACTGGCCCAAGACCACTCTGAACTTCATGGCTGGGTGGAGATTGGATTGCATTTATCATGGGGTAAATCCATCACTGTAATCCAGCCTTCTCCAACCTCCTATGCAATAGATTCCTTGGCTTGCAACTCTCAGGTGGCATGCTGGGAATGATGGGAGTTATCGTTCAACCCTCCCAAAGTAGCAAGTTGGGAAAGATTATTATTTCACACTGGATTTCTGCACTACAAAAACCATGCAAAGAAAGAGCACAGAGGGTGGAATCTTTCCACAAAGAAAGACTCCAGTTTTATATCATGCAAATTAAAATAAACAATAGTTAATTGTTTTCCAGTCTTTTTGCTCCAGTAGACTGGATTTGAAGAATTAGATGCCACACTTGCCCTCCTATACTAGTATTAATAAAGTTTCTGCTTTAATATGTTATTAATGAATTTAGACCATTTTTCTATCAAGAAAATGGCACTCAAGGATGCTTAGGATTCTTTTTAAAGGTTGTTGTGGGTGTGGGGAGAAAGAGGTAACAAAGAATCCTTCTGACAAACACGGATGCCACATAACCTATGAGCTGCAATGGTTATCTCCTATAAGAAAGACAAACCTTCCCCCATGTGATATATAGCATATCACACCCTGGCTATATGGAAATGCATTTGTTTCCTAACTAGCAGAACTTCTGACCTCTCCTTCTCGCCTTCTGCGCTCAGTTGCGCGCTTGTGTGTCTTGAGACCGGCAAAGATGAGCATTGCTGAAATCGTTCTGGTCTGACAGTGCAGGAATGTCTCCAGATGCGTGTTCCAAAGCCAAGGCGGCCACCTCTGCCAGTTTTGACATTTGCATCCACAGCGGGGGGGGGGGGGGGGCTTGGAGAGGCAGAACAGGGAAGCTTGGCTTTGGCTCAGTGCCATTACGCAATCCAATGGCAGCGAGGCTTGCCTGTCCTTGGTGTCAGGTTACATTGCCTGCGAGGCTCTCCCCAAGGGACGACATTGCCAAAGGAGCTACCTGTGTCCTTTGCAAAGAAGTCGTCTCTGGGAAAAAGAAGAAGAAGAAAAATAACCGCAGCAGTGAAAGGTAGCCATTTCTCACCGGGAAAGTCATGCAGGGGAAGAGCTCTGCACTTACCTCCACAGGTGTAAAGAGGTCTCCCGGCGAGCAGAAGGGGCAGAGGGATGTGCAAGGGGTGGGCAAGCTGAGCAGCTCCAGGCTCTGCAGCAACTGGGCGAAATCAGCTTGCAGGAGGTGCGTGGGGGGGGGGGGGGGGGGGGGACGGGCGGGGGGAGGGTCTACAGCCAGGAGAGACCCTGGGGTGGATTTTCCAGTCTTTCCACTGGAAGAATTAGTCAGCAGGAAGGGGCTCCCATTCAAGGCTGGAAATGAACCTACCCAGTGTGAAAGTTTTAGAAACCAAAATACCACGTTGTGATGTTTTAAGATTTGAAAGCATGCGTTGAAAGATGCAGATTTGGGCAGATCTTCTGCATTTACTTTGAAAGGGGCATGACTGACCCTGGGAAATCCAACCAGGGAAATTGGGAGATTTTTGAGCAGACTTGTACCCCATCTTTCCACCAAGACATTGAGGTCCAGGAGGCCAACAGTCATCAGAACTGGCCATTTTAAAGTCAATACATAATAATAATAAAAGCTATAATACTAAATAATAATACAATAATAAAAAGCAATGATAAAATGGATACATTCCAAACACTGCTAAACCCAACACTAACAGACCTTAAACTGCACGCAGTCCAGCTTGCATGCCAAGGGCCTGCTAAAAGAAAATGTCATTGCCTGCAGACAGGAAGACAGCAAAGAAAGAGACCCAACCTAGCCTCTCTCAGCAGAGTATTCAGAGCCTGGGAGCAGCCACCAAGCAGGCCTTCCTCCTGGTCCCCCATCACCTCTGGACATGCCTCTGATGGTGCAGTTTCAAGAGACTCCTCCTCTAAAGGCCCTCTAAAGAAAAGGACTTCTCCTTCTCCCGGGCAGGCTCATATGAGAGAAGAAGTAGCCTGCTTTAACTTAGGGCCCTTCTGCATGAAGTTGCCATTTGACCGAAGCTTCTGCTTCCAAATTCTTTGAGGGATTTACATCACTTCCTTTACACCTGTTGTTACTGGGATTTTCTTTTTCCACTTTTCTTTATCTTCTATCACACAGGCACCAGGTGGCACTGCTGCATGGTAGAGTTGCATAAATGCATAAATATTGCATTTAGCTGCAGTATTTCTAAATAATACTGGACTTCCTCACACTTTTTTTAAGATGTGGGAATGGTTAGAAAGCATGGGGGTGGCTCTGGAAGATGACAGTGTCATGTGAAGCATCTGTAAGATGCCATGAATAAGAACTCAAGAGCACACAATCAACGTAAAAGTCTCTTGTTGTCAAAGAGACTGGGCTCAATGGACCAATAGTCTGACCCAGTATAAACTGGCTTCCTAGTACCCCAGGCTTTTGCTGGCTAGCAGCTGAAAATGTACCCTTCGATGCCTTGAATCACAGGGGGCTTAGGCATTGGTAGCCACACTACAGCCACCTGCAGTGGACACAGCTGGATGGAACTCTGGGTGGGCAGAAAAGTGGAAATGCTGATTGGAGGTCTCAGATGACCATGTCCTGCCAGGGCTGTCTTTCTCCAGGCAGGTTGCATAAACATTAAGGGTAACCTCTTCAACATGCAAACTGGAGCAGGAGTGGACTGCTGGATTATATGCTTTTCTTCCAACCCCACCCACAGATCACCCTTGCCTGCAAGCTTTAAGCAGGGTTAAGAACAATGCACAAGTCAAAAATAACCACTGTTAATGCCACATAACTGGGTTCTCTTTGAGCCAGGGCTTAAAACATATCAGCCAGCCCTGATTAGGAAGGAAGCTGGTTAGCATTAACCATGAGTAATATAACTGCTAATGGCACTGGCATCATCACTGAGGCTGATGGCGGTAGTTCAGGTGGCAGGCAGTTCCATGCAGGACAGGCGGGAGGAGGGGAGGTGATCTATTGGCCCAACCCTGATTTCTCAGCTGCAGTGCAGAGACATGACCTATACAGAGGTAACACTGTCTAAGCAACAACTCTGTGCCTTGGTAAAATGCAATGGAAAATAGTGAGTCTGAAAGCAATCTTTTGGTTAGCTAATCAAGCTATTGCAATAACACGCCTTTTGGCATTTTTCTTATGATGAGCCCAGCTACCTTTGCTTTTTTCCCTATAAGAGTAAATTTCTCTCTAGATTTTCAGTGTGTTTGAACAGAAGCAATACCAGAGTTGCTGACCTGGCATGAGCAGCTAAAGCATCTGGAACTGCTGTGCTATTATCAGGTCTAGTGATATATTTCTGATTAGGTAATCCAAAACTCAAGTCACTGGATTCTGCTTTTCAAAGAATGGATTTTTACAATACATATTAATAAGCTTTCTAGCTGTTACAGCAAGAATCTTATTTCAATTCCCTGACTTTAGGTTCTTTTAATTACAGTGTGTAAACGCTCTCTGGAGTGTTAAAAGAGCCCAACAAAAGGAGAAAACTTACTCTGGGTGAAAGAAAACTGTTCTCACTGTGGGACTCAGAGGGGCATGGTCTTCCCTCATTATGTGCTGATTTCTAAACCCAATGCCCAGGCAAATCCCTGCATGGTTTCTATATGCACTGTTCTTTCTGAAAGCTACAAGGCGCATTATGCAGCTCCTCCAAAGCAACACAGAGATTTCTGTTATGTATGAACTGGGATGAAAAGCACAGTAAAAAGTAACTAATACTCAACTGCAAATATACTTCACTATCTCAACTGAGATAACTACAATTATTATATGCTTACGGGTTAATACCAGCTCAGGCAGTCTCTTTCTATGATGTGAATATTTGCCAGACATCTGGGCTTGACACTTTGAAGGAATCATGGAACTGTTTAGAAGTGTGTAAAGGTTCTCCAGCCCTAGAGCTCCTCTTCCAGCAGCTTCCACTG